GAATATTTTGTTTTTGGTGTATTTTGTTTTGTTTTTAGTGCATTTTGTTTTGTTTTTCGTGTATTTTGTTTGGAAGTCGGTTTTGTTTTTCAGTAACGAAAACCTAAAAAATTAATTCACAAAGTGCCTTTGCTATAAAGAATTTATGCAAAATTGTGCTTATGACATGTTAGTGTATTAAATTAAATTTATTGTAATAGTAATTCTATCATGGTATAAGTAGTAAATAAATATATGCTTAAACTGTTAAGTAAATATTATTTACAACTGTTATCTTTCCTAATTAAAATATGGCGGCAAGCGTCTTCCGATTATTATACCTTATACTATCATACTAATATTACGAATGCGAAAGTTTAGATGGATGGATGGATGTTTGTTAGAGTTTGAAGCCTAAACGGCTGAACTGACTTCGATGAAATTTGGTACAGATGTAGAAGATAGTCTGGAAGAACGCATAAGGTACTCACTTTGTTATTTTTAATTCCACACGGACGGAGTCGTGAGCGAAAACTAGTAGTTAATATCTTTATCTGATAGCGATGGAAAATCCAATAGAAAATGTGTGCATCTAGAACACGTGTCACTGGCTGCTTGCGGTAAAACATCTCAATTGCGATTGTTTTATATTTCCGAACGAACCATATCGCCGGCAGTTGTTTACCATCTGCCGCGGGTGGAGGTGCGGTCGCTCGAAATGTCAGTTTTCCCGCCAATTATCGTGCGGACTTTTATTAAAATTTTTAGTGATTTGAGACAAACAATTATATTCTTATTACAATAAAAATAATTGGAAATGATTTGTTTCAAGTGACAAAGTGAAAATTGTGTTTTTTTTTAAAGTGTGGTACCTACCGGAAATATAAAAAGTTATCCTAAAACCGTCAAGTGAAAGACATTCATTATGAATCAGGTATATTTTAACAGATCGTTTATTAATTTATCCAACAGTTTTGAAAGGACCAGAATACTTTTTTTTATTGTTTCGGCTGTGAAGGTTACAATTTTTCTTTACTTGTAATTTGCAAGAGATAAAACGGGAAATAAGGTGAGCCCTATAGCGGGATAAAACCCGTTATAGACGTCGAACGATCTTCTGCATAGTCCTTTAGCCATAGTTTCTTAATAACATAAGCACAACATACACAATTTTCTCTTAAAGCGTAATAAATTAATACATCAAGAGAAAACTTTGAATTGCAGAACGGATGGAAAAAAAATGATACGGTTAAAATTAATTGTGTAATTCATAAAGCTATTTAATAAAATAATGGTCGAATTTATTCCAATAGGCAACTACTAATAAGAGTAATACAATTGTGAAAATCATACTTCACACTAATGTTATATATTCAAAGGTTAGGTGCATGGATGGATGGATGGATGTTTGTTAGAGTTGGAAGCCTAAACTGCTGAACGGATCTCAATGAAATTTGGCATAGATGTAGAGGATAGTCTGGAAGAACACATAGGCTATTTGGTTTTGTTTTTTTTAATACCACGCGGACAATCGCGAGCGAAAGCTAGTACTTTAAAATTCAGAATCAACTTGAGTGGTAACGGTAATTTTTTATTACCTACAAATATTTAAATTTTATGCTCGATTTATACATGGGTCTGAATTTATTACGTTCCAATACGTTTCTTTGTTACTAACTAAACAGTTAAAAAAAATCTTTCAAGTTTACAGTCAACATTTTTTATCCATTGCTTCTCATACATTTTATAACCACACTAATGAATGACGTACTTTTTCACGGTAAATTTTATACTAATGCTGATAATTTATTTGGTTGTCTATGTTTTTGAAAACAACTAATTAGTAAAGACCTGTAAAATTCAAGCTTAGTGTCAGATGTCTGATTTTTTTAAGGAAAGCCGGAGGTAAAACGATTATTTTTGGATTTTCGTATGTGGTGAAATATTTCAAAAAGTACTAGGCCGATTTAAAAAATTCTTTCACCATTAAATGCTACGTTATTATTGAGTAATGTTTTAAGTTTTTTTTTTTATATAAATTTCTCAATTTTAAAGTCGCGAGCAATACTTAATAAGTTAACAAAACGGTTTTAATGTAACGTCACGATTAAAGAGTAATTAAAAGTTAATTACTACTAGCCTATCATTATGTTATTGGAAATGTAGTAAAAATGTTGAAAAACAGTTAAATCTCTTTACATGCTATTTAAATTCTTTACACTTTATAATCATGGTATCCGTATATAAGTATTTTTACATTTAAAAACTACGCAATCGGTTTCACTAATTAAACCACAACAAATTTGTATTTTTATTATAGAACTAAGTATACAAACATTGTGAACTCTCAACATTTTTTCCCTCCACAGAATATTCCCGACGAATCTTCCATTGGAAAATGTATCCCGTATTTATATAATTTGTACAGTCTTAAGAATAATTATGAACATTTAGGATCAGTCCCACCAAGTTGTAAATTGTCTGATAACAATCAAACGTGAAAAATATGTGATGGAAATATCGAATTCTGTTCCCTTATGTGACAGTGACGTTTGTAAGCTATTTGAGCCTCTATCAGCCAGTGGTGAGACAGGGCCTAAGTATAAGGATGTTTATTTAAATTCAGGTAAAATTTTACATTGTCTCGACTTGTTTACATGATAGTAGAATGCTATAAAAATATTTTACTGTCGATGCTTTAACTGTCATCGTGGTCACGTCGTCGTCGAGCCCGCCAATGTCAGCGGCTCACGATAATCGTTCACAAACAATCAACAATCTGCTAAATTACATGCCACGCGTTTTCCCATATTCAGTGTTCATTTCACGGATCGTTTGCAATGTTAATGTTTTTAATATTTCACTTTTGTTTTTCTAAACTGTCGGAATTGTGTCATCAGCCAGTTTGCCCTTATCACGCCTATTGGATTAGATTTGTCAAATAAAAAAACCAACTCGTAATAGCTAACTGACATTTTCCCTCATTGAATAAAGAACAAAATGCAGCTTCTGATGTAATTAATCTATACCCAGTGCCAATATGTTTATTTAAAAAAAAGGATCACATTTTTAAAGATGCTTAAAACCCTGAATGTGTGGACAGAGATTACAGATTTCCACTTGGATCTTGATAACTAAATTTATATAACAGGCTGCACCGCCAACTGTGTAAAATCCCATGTCTATTCTGTTATTGGGTTGTCGTCGCATTGCCTCGTTTAACTTCCTTCCTTCATCTGTTTACTCCCTCAGCCCATTAACATAATCTTCTTTTCTAGGTATCAGAAGCTAGCTACGTAACGAGCGTGGAAGACGCGAGCCGCGTGGACCAATGCACGCAGACCCCCAGCGGCAAGGCGCGGCCACGTACGCTCCAAAGGTACCACACTACCGACCACCTCTACGAGAGATCGCACAGAGCTTACCGGCTCAGGCACGAACTCAGGCCAAAGAGCCTGGGCCTCAGTGACTCGTACCCTTGCTTTGGAAAGCCGCCGAGCTATGAGTGCGGAACTACACCCAAGTAAGGATATCAGTTAATGATAATATTGTGACTAACAGCGCTACTAAAGCCGATGATTGTGGCCGGCTTTAAATTTAGCAAATGAAGGTAGGTATTTATTACATTTAAGCTCAGATTTAAGTCCTGATCGGTTTTCGGTAGTATTAAGATCACGATTTACAGTAAACTTGTCGTTTCAAGCAAGTAAGAAATTGTAACAGGTAATTCATATTATCCTTAAGTATGATTCTATTTATAAACTCTGTTTCTCATCTTAACTATAGAAAAATGTCGGAAGATACGGTGAACAGAGATTAACCTTGTTTTTATGTTTGCAAACGACGTTTCCTACTTTTGATAGGAAAATAAACTACGAGATTATTATTCTAGGCGATAAAATGTTATTTAAATCAAGTAAAATTGTGAAATAAATATGATTACCTATTACTACCTACTACTTACAACTAGGTATATAGGTAGACCTAGAAAGAGATGGATGGATTGCATGAAAGGTGACATGATCAAAAAGGGAGTGATGACTGAGATGACGTATGATAGAGTTATGTGGAGGACAAAAACCTGTTGCGTCACTACGGGAGTAGGATAAGGAGAAAGATGATGATTTATTACTTATAATTGTTTAGAATGGCTGTTTAAATAATTTTAATTATTCTTTCTTGAAAAAAATGTAGTTAAGCAGGAATAACAGATCTACATTAATATCGTAGATACTATACGACCTCTTAGGCTTTTAAACACAAATTCCTTCACGTACATACTTGTGGTTTCCAATGCTAAAAGTTCCTCTGTCGGGAATACCCTTTTGATGGTATCCAAATTGAAAACAGAAATTTTCCTGCATAGTGCAGGGTTTTTCTCTATTTTCAATTTACAAATTCAAAACTCAACAAACAAAAATCGAATCATTACATAGGAGATGCACTATGTTGAATAACAATTTTGATTTGATCTATCTTGTATCTCTTTGGTAAATTAAATTAATTATCTTATAATACTGCATAATAGCATATTTACTGATTCCAGTCGTGCAAAAGATTGCTATAATTGATATCGAATGTAATAATAATACATATAAATAATATTAGTTCATATTTTACCTATACTTACACGAAAGAATTACCTCATAAACGCGGGAAAAACTCAGAGAAACCATATCGTAGATTTACATAACAATCCGATTTGAAACCTACTCGTAGTGTTGACAAGTGTTGAGTGCTTGTTTAATGCACAGTTTTACGTCAACACTACGAGAAATTCATTGCTTTACCTAGTTATGGCTTACCACAACTCTCTACGTGTACTGTGGAAATTATAGAAAAAATCCGTTAAAAACCTAGTAGCCGTTGGAAAAGGCTTTGTTAAAGAAAATATATTGAATTTGTAGTAAAATTTAACTCTGTACTGTAGGCAAGAAGGCGGAATTCTAGTTTTTTTCTCTCTACCTCTAAGTGCCTCTCCATTAACGGAGGTGAGCCGTCATCTCAGCGAACTTTTCCCGGACTTGTGCTAAGCAAAATAGGTATTCTAAACTGGCAATATTCGTCCACTCCTTGATATTTCGCAACCACGATTTCTTATCTTCTTCCAGCGCGTCTTTTTCCTAAGATTTTGCTCATCATAATTAGTTCAAGAAGGCCGTATTCCTCGTGTCGCAAAACATTTAATAATATGATTGAGCAAATTGTAAATAAAAACTATACATTAAATTTGCAAATTATAAATTCACATTGATTTATTAATTTATCCTTAAGAATTGTGTATTTAAAAGCGTAAATACAAGATGTTAATTATGCTAACAGTACAATTGCTTCTTCAAATTTTCAATTTTAACAACTACACTAAGTACGCGTTCGTTATCATGAAACAGGTAATTGAAGAAGTAAATGCGTAAACTATTACTTAAAAAACATGAATCATAATTGAATCTCACAGTCTTTCTTAATGTTATAAATATGAAAGTTTAGATGGATGTTTGTTGAAGTTTGTAGCCTAAACGGCTGAACGGATTTCAATTAAATTTGACATAGATGTAGAAGATAATCTAGAAGAACACATCGGGTATTCACAATTCCACGCGACCGAGTCGCGGGCGAAAGCTAGTATCCTATAAATCTTATCTTCGAAGGAATCCACTTTTAAGGAAGAAAAACTTACATAAGTATCGTAAATAACCATCTCCTTGCTCCTACTAAAGTGGGGACGCACAAGGTTTTATAAAACTTAATTTCAATTTTGGAGTGTCGCAGACTGTTTGTCTGTCACTACTTGTGATAAATAAAATATTTTAGTTACGGCAACCTTTAAATTTTTTATCGGTTATCTCCTAAAGGAGAATTAATCTTATATGTTTACTTCTTACCACAATATTAGTTATAAATGCGAAAGTTTAGAAGGATGGACGGCCTAACGACTAAACGAATCTCTATGAAATTTGGCGGGAGCAACACATAGGCTACTTACTTTTTTTAATTCCACTCGGACGGACTCGCGTGCGAAAGCTAGTATAGCATAATGTTATAATTGCAATTTAATCACCCATTTTCCACGTAGATAATTATTAAGAGTATTTTAATTATAGGACGATACAGCTTACGACCTCCGTCATGCAGGTCTGAACAACATAGATACTTCTTTTAATGACGAATCCAGTTTTTGTATATCTATGTCAACTATTTTGTATGTAAATGTTGGTACAAAGCATAGAGAAAGATCTTAATAGTTTTTTTCACGTAAATAGGAGAGAAGGGACTAGCTAGAGTATAGAATTGATCGATAAATACAATGCAGGTACAAAGAATACCTATGTACTTATTCTGGTAATTCCAGTCCACAGATTATGTACAAGATCTAACCGCAGCTGACAAGATCAATGATCATATATCAATACTTCACTCAACAGACAATAGTATAACTATAATAAAGTTATAAGAGATTATGTTTTGTTAGATTTCAAGCTTGAGGTTTTATCTCCTTGGAAATTTATTATCGAATACAAATTGGCTTGGGTTGGCAGGAAGCCGGAGGTAAAAAATAAGACAAAACATCAAGGTTTAGGATTTATAAAACTTTGTACGCTTAGACCCGACGTAAGTGGTGTTAGACACATTAGGTTTAGGGGAAATGATGATGCAAATTCTTAATACTGTCTATTACATTGAAATTCTGTACAGGATTACAATTTAACGTTAATATCAGCGATTTTGTGGCTTTCCAAACGCGGCTATTGCAAACCAATGCAATGGCATTTCCCGGTAACTAAACATTTATGTCGGTTGTGGGATATGATAATTAGTAAGTGCTTTATTCAATTAATCTTCTTTTTAATAGGTTAAAGGTAAGCGTGACCGACAGTCCGACGATCTCTATCAGCCCTCCGCACAGCTTGGACTACGTATGCCAGAAGGGTAGTCCTGGCAGCGTGACGCCCAACGGAATGCTCTCCAGCAAATCCACGGCCACCACAGTACTGCTGAGCCCCAGCTATCTACAAACGACTTGTCAGTGCAGTCAGTCTATTAAGGTTGGTCTAGCATTAGACAGCCGTAGTTAAAACTGACATCCGCTTATGGACCTACCGAGGAGCTCGAAGTACTACGCATGGAGTAACAAATACATGTTTTTTTTATAAAGTCGTGTGTTGTTTGCGGACTCAAGGCAATTAGCCTCGAGTCAATATTTGTTGCAATTTCAGAGTGTGAGTGAGGTGGCGTTGACGATGCCAGCTGGGTCTGCGGCTGCGGCGGGCGCAGGCTGGGGCGAGGAGGTGCCGGGACTGGCGTCAGATGGCCTCTCCTGGCGCCGTCTGCATATGTCCCGAGCCAAACTCAAAGCGACTGCCACGACGTCCGAACTGCTCTCAGGTAATGTTAACAAGGCTTTTGGTGGTTAAATCTATACTAATATTATAAGGAGGAAAGATTTGTATTTTTGTATGTATTGAAACAACTTAAAAACTACTGAGTCGATTTCAAAAATTCTTGCACCAATAAAAAGATACGTTATCGGTGCGTAATATAAGCTATATGTTTTAATTTTACAGGAGCGAAGTTGCGAGCAACAGCTAGTTATAGATATTTTCTATTACAGATTTATCTGTAAAGAAAGAATTCACTTTAAATGGGAACCCAAAATTATTAATTTCGTATTACAGGTTTCGCGATGGTAGCTATGGTAGAGTTACAGATCAACGAGCCAACGAACGTGCCCGAATGGTTGTTCGTTATGTTCGCTGTGTGCACGACCGTGTTAGTCGCTGTGCATATCTTTGCTCTAATGATCTCTACGTACCTGCTGCCGAATATCGACGCGGTCAGCAAGATGGAGACGCCCGGGGGACCCACCCGCGCGCTCAGGGACTCTCCGCACGAACGTATGCGGGGATTCATTGAGCTTGCGTGGGCTTTTAGCACTGTTTTAGGTATGCTGTTTTGTAATTTAACTTTTAAACTACGAATTAAATATTGATAAAGGACTTGTTATTATTTAAAGACAAGAGTAAAAACTAATGACCGTACCAAATACAGTTATCTTCCTAAATCTGTTATCTATATCTATGTATATTAATATAAAGAAAAAAGATTTTTGTATGTATATGATTCACGCAAAAACTAGGCCGATTTTTAAAATTCTTTCACCTTTAAAAAGTTTACGTTATCAGTGAGCAACATAGGCTATATTTTTTTTAATTTTATGGGGGTGAAGTCAGGAGCAACAGCTAATTATTAACTAAATACAAGAAAGACTAAAAGCCAGAGAGATCTCTTCCAATATCGTTTATTAACTATACTTGTTTAATTATTAGTGTAAACTGTTCCAGGTCTGTTCCTATTCCTGGTGGAGATAGCGATCCTGTGCTGGGTGAAGTTCTGGGACTACTCGTTCGCGGCCGCCACCGCCGCCACCGTCATCGTCATACCAGGTACCGTGCTCATGATGCTCAGCCTGCGCTGCCTCACAGCTGCAAGGAACAACTTACAAATATAAAGTATATATCCTTATATTATTAATGTTATTAGTTATGGATGTTTGTTAGAGTTTGTAGCCTATACGTCTGAATGGATTTCAATCAAACTTAATTTAGATGTAGAGGATAGTCTGGAAGAACATAGGTTACTCACTTTTATTTTTTTTTTTAATTCCACGCGGACGAAGTCGCGGGCGAGAGCTAGTTAGATAATAAACATTTCAACAGTCGCAAAATTAAACAATACCATTAAAGTTAGGACGCTCTTAGGTCTAAAATATATCTTACTAAGTAACTAATTCACTAAAGGAGGCCAGACTTCAGATCAAAAATTTTATATTCTTGGTTAGGCCATATTTATAATAATATTATTTTGTTCTCATGTGCTCTCATTTTTTTATTTTAATACTAAAGGTTTCTTTCCATATCTTATAGTGACTTCTTTCGAAATATATTTACTTAATAATATTTGTTTTTCAGTCTTAATAGTATTCGTTGCGTTTGCCATCCACTTCTACCACTCGCTGGTGGTGCAGAAATGCGAGACATCGGTGCAGGACATCGAACAGCTCGAGACAATGAAGCGCGAACTCGACACCGCTACCGTTAAAGTCAACATGTTCTAATTCTAACGAAATACCGATGTTTCTAACGATTCGATTCGATCATTCATTCGATTAAAAAGAGATCTGTGGACGATAGACAAACCTGTCTCGTTTTTAATCTATGAATGAACTGTCACTGTCATTGAAATTGGCGGAAAAAGTTCGATATTTGTAAAATATCATTTATGTATTGTAATTGTATATTTGTAAGTTTAATAAAAGTGTTAAACGAATTAATACTATAAATAGATACAAGATAGAAACGTTTCAATTTGATGATATGAGTTTTTAAAGTGTAAAGTTTTCACTGATGTTTCGAAACTTTAAACCTAGAAAACTAAAATGAAATTTTTATGTTTGTGGCTTATTAATTTAATCTAAACTTAACATTTGAATCTAATTCATCATTTCATTTGAATCTATAGATTATCCAAAATGATTAGGTGCAAATTTTCTACAACAATTGTTATTTAAATTGAATATGTTTTGGCCATAGGTAAAAATGTAGTTCATTTTTGAATAGTCACAAACTCAACTACATTAATCGATAACTTTATTTTAATTTTACATTTTTACTTCATACTGATGACATTCCATTTTTAATTAGGTACAGTTGTGAGCTTCCACTGTCGAAACACATGTTGAATGTATTCTCTTTTTGAATACAGACTTAAAAAATATTGTACATGTGTTTGCTTTGAAAACTGACGGAAAGACACGTAACGATATTTTAACGATTTAGGTTTAAATATAATAACTTATGTAATCTTTTGCTACATTTTGCAAAGGACACATTTGTATTTAAGTTCAAAAGATAGTGAAAAATTAAACGTAGGATAATTGTATAGAGGTGGTCATATATCTCAGTGGCTCAATATTCATACAAGTCACTGAAATATAGTGATGTAGGGAGCCCACAGCATGCTTGAGCCTCCAAGATATTTGACAAGTTGTATACACATGTAAAATAGAAATTAATTGAATATTAGTAGATAAATGTGTAACTTATTTAATAAGATATTTATATGAGTATTTTAATTCTAATATTAGTATTTGAATATTGTACAATTTATGACACAAATTGATTTTTATTCTGTATCTTATTACCAAGTATTTAATACAATCCATTTTAAGGATACCTGTATACGGAAGTAATTAACTGTCAACATTTTATTTGATACATGTGATATTTATATTTTAATAGAAATTTCATTGAACTAAAACTTTACTTATTGTTGATCTGATTATTATCAATGGGGGTTCTTTTCTTTCTTTTATAATATAAGGTGGCAAACAAGCAAGCGGCTACCTTAATCCACCGAAATGGAAAGTGACCACTGCCCATAGACACCCGCAATTGCAGAGTTATAGAAATAGAGAAAACAGCAAAGGGCAAAGTAAAGTATTTTTTTTCCTACAAATAACTTCAACTGATCGGTTCTTGAGGTTATTTATAATTGGGTACCATATTTTTAAACTATAGTTAACAGTAATCTCATGAAATTGAAGATATTAAAAGTTTGTATGAAAAGACTTAAAATCAATTACTTTTTACATATATATTTGTCACAATATAGTTGTATGATCATTTATATGTATGGAGTAGGGACCAACTCGAATCAGTATTGTATAAATTAAGTTTGGATTTGAATTCTCATGTTGATATTTATTGTTGATTTAATATAATAAACAATCTATTTGAAATAAATGCTTTTACTATTATTCCAAATACAGGGTATTACATTTACTGTACATTACACTATTTCCCGTGACTCCTGATAATTTTGTAATTTTCACATGAATATGTGGAACCAAAAAATGTATTAAGTAGTCCATGTTTACTTCCAGACTATATTTTACATCTGTGCTTTTCAACTAGATCTGTTCAGCGTTAAACTAATAAAACAAAAAAAAAATAATAATATACTATAAATAATAAATAAAAAACACAAGATGCAGTACAAAATATTTAATGCAGTGATACCAATTTATAAATAAGATTAAAATACTTATTTACTTATGTTACATATCAAAATAAAAAACATGTTAAGGAAACAGTTTTTAAAAGGTTTTTGACAGCATATTGATTTTAAAACCGACATCATATCAAACAATACAATTTGGTACAAAATCTACTTCAGATTATTCAAGATAATTTGGCAAAAATTTATATTAAAGACCTAAGATTTCTTAAGCACTTGTAACATTTCAAAATTTTGTAAATATTGTTCATATTTAATATTCATTACTTTACATCCTTACATTAATTAAATTTATTTTAAAATTCCCTTTTTTTAAGAATATACATACTTTTTTAATATACACTAAAAAAAAATCCTATCATAAAATTGATAATTTTGACATCAAAGTGAATGCAACTGCATACTGTCTGCACAATTTATTTATTTTTTAAATACAGTGCCAAAACCGATTACAGTATAAACAAAAACATTTCACATGTTTAGTTATGAGAGTTTACTTAATCAATTAGAATTATTTATCTTATAAACAACACTAAACTATCAAGGTACAATCCAACTTAGAAAACTATGTAATATATTCTAAAACTACAGTATTTTTGTTAAAGGGTCACAATTAAAAAAATACTTAAGAACTAATTAAACTATGATAAACAGACAATGTTCACATTCAATATATTAATCACAATTTTACTATTATAAAGAAATATTTGTATTTTTGACCAACTTCCCAAAAGAAAGATGTACTCAATTTATCTGTATTTTTTTTTTTTTGTATATAATTAAATCACTCAAAAACTACTCGGCAGATTTCAAAGATTCTTTCCCCAATAAAAATATTTTGTAACTGAGTAACATATGTGATTTTTATTATTTTTTATTTCATACAGACAAAGTCATATGCAACAGCTAGACCTTTATAAAACAGTATCACTAAACATTTTTCTTAATTCTTTCCCAACATAGCTTTTGTTTTCAAATACTTAGTTAAGCCATACAAAAAAGTATGGGTTTCTTTGATAATGCTAATGTTGTATATTGTCTTTTTATACAAAGAAATGAGTCATAACTCTTATTTTACAGTAAATGCTAAACTTAACCATGAATTTCAATTGTTTATATATAAAATAATATTATTATGTCTGGTATTCCAAAGTATATCAAATGTGAACATATGTACATATATAAAACTCACCATTAAGAAGCCAGTCACCAAAAAACATAATACTCACTGAATTGGGTATTCAATTATCTGTCAGTAGTTAATATTCAATGTGAACATTGCCTTACTATTCACAAACATTTCATGACATCTCCATTTCCATAGGGGATATATCAGTAACAAGCACACCTGGTCTTTTCTTCTCTTCTTCATGCGGTTTCTCCTCTACTTCTTTTATCTTCTCCAAAATATTATCCCGAGGTTTCCACACAACTAGTGACATATGTGGCTTTTCTAGTCTGTAAAAAGAACAGGAGATTTAAAAGTAAACTAACAGTATGCCAGTAACAAGTTGACAGAATGTCAAATAAAAAAATTAGAATAATCTTTTTTTTTATTTATTTCCATAAAAGCTGTTGTGTGACTTCATCCACATGGAATTAAAAATTTGTGTGCAACAATTTTTGAAATTGGTTCTCTTTTACTATATTAGTATAGAAGTATAGATATAGATGGGTAAATGTATAAAATCAATATAAAATGGGCAAAATTATTAAATACCTTTCTATTAGAGTAGCGGGTAACAAAGGTTCTTCTTGTAATTTTTTAAGCTCTTCGGAAAGAACTATTTTGTGACCTTTCAGTTTTTCACTGAGAGACATTGCAGTATCCATGCCAAGATCCATATTTTCATCTGATGGTGCTGCCAGAGAATGGGCTGTGTAGTCTGAAGATATGTGAAGACCATTCAAATGTGCTGCCATTTTCTCTTCTGTTATTAACTGTTTTGCTGGACTAAAATAGAAGAGAATTATTTTTATAGCTCAAATATTAAAATTATTTATCACTCTAACACAATGTTGTCAATTATAACAATACAAGATTACTTACATGACAGGTTCGACATCCAAACTTTTTCTTTTAGAGTGCAAAATTGTGTGTGAAGGCTTAGAATCTATTGACGGTTGTCCAGTGAACTGAACTAATTGAGGAGGCGAAGATAAACCCCAAGAAACGCCTTGTATATTCCATGGAGCACCAGATGGTATCGGCATGGAATGCGGCTCTTGGCTGGTCCCTGGACGATCAAAAGGAAGGCCGGAAGACAGGGCTTGCTGGGCAAACATTTGTTTAGATAGTTCATCTGATTGTCCGTATTGATACGGGGGATATCGGTATATATCCATTGTATCCACAAGTTGATGAACAGATTTTAATAATCAGTCACTAAAACTCTAAAAATTCTCAAACAATAACAAATTACAAAATAACAATGACACCAATTGACACTTCAAATATGGAATACAGAAAAGTAAAAGTCCCAGATACTGAATGTCATTAGAATCAACGCGAATTTTCTGGAAATAACATATTTCAGTCGGAACGTAAGGTATTGAAAGTATTTATTCAGTCTAACTTATTTGTTAAAAAAGATGACGATTTGTTAGATAATATTTACTATGAAATTAAATAACATTTATTAAATTTTTTTGCAAAAACTGCAAGAGCACTCTTTGATGGGCTTGCCACTTTGTTTCGAAAACCGTTTTATTTTATCTTTGGCGACAACTGTCAATCAAAATATTTTATAAAATTCTGTGCATAAAAAACAACATTGATTATTTCGCCAACCTTTCACTTTTATCAAATTGCGTTTTCTCTAAAACTTTTGGGAAGGTGTAATTTGGACTACAGTAAATGTGATAGAAAAATTATAGTCCATTGGTCTCGGAAATGGATTGCTAAATCAATAAAATGGGATTGGATTTCGATGTTTTGGAATTTTGTAAGAAGTTGCGGCAAAACAGGCCACCGCCCTACCAATGTCCACTTGAAAAGTGTGATAAAGTTTATAAAAGTCTATGCGGATTGCAATACCACCTTGTTAATTACGACCATGATAATCCCACACCGGCAACTCCCACCGTAGTTCGTAATATATGTCGGAAGAAAGGTAGGACCCGAGCTGCGGTTCCAACTGGAGATATTGCTCTTCAGAGCCCACCAAAAGAGGCTTTAACTTTTGCTGAAGCTCAGAAAGTAGTACAGTTTGAAATTGACGGGAAAATAAGTCGTATACCGATTGATCAACCTTTGCCAATTATATCATTAGAGGAATGGGAAAAGAAGAATGCGGAGCTAGAAAAGCCACTTCCAGTCGTAGAACCACCTCCTGAACCTCAAGTTAAACTACCTGAAGCTACTTTTCGGGTAATTTTTTTATTAATTTATTTGCATATTAAATCATTTTGCAGTCAACAAAAAAGGTTTTATGTGTCAATTGCAGTTAATACCAGATTACAATGAGAGAGTATGTGATGCTCAACCCAGACCAAATGCATACATTCGCTTCATTGAGAAATCGGCTGAAGAATTGGATGGAGAAGTGGAATATGATGTGGATGAAGAGGATACAGCTTGGCTGGCTCTTATCAACAAGAGCAGAGCTAAACAAGGACTCCCACCGGTTTCTGTTGATACATTAGAACTGCTTATGGATAGACTTGAAAAGGAATCTTACTTTCAGGTACGTTTACTTCAGGCCAAAATTTAGACCTTGTATTGACAAATAAAAATAATAAAAATGTTAAACTGGGACTCTTAATTTGGTTGTAAATTTTTAACATAACAGTAATGTTAAGTGCTGATAGATGTGTCAGTTTGAAAACACCTGAATGATACTGCAGTACAAATTTATCTGAAACTCGACTGCAGTTATGACATAGCAGATCAGACTTGCCTGACTCTGCTGCCAAAGTTAATAAAAACTGGCATGAACTGACATTTAATATGAAACTTGTATTTGTTCTAGAGAAAAATTGGACAGCCATAATTATGTAGTGCTAAAGAATCGTCTATTAGAAGCATTTAGTTCATTTCCGTGTTTGCATACTAAAAGAATTACATTTTTGTTATATTAGCTTATTTTGTTATTTATTATATTAGCTTATTTTTTCTTAAATCATCAGGCTACACAAAGCGGCCAGCAGACCGCAGCCACAGTGGATGAGGATGCGGTGTGCTGCATCTGTATGGATGGGGAGTGTCAGAACACTAATGTTATACTGTTCTGTGATATGTGTAACCTTGCTGTACATCAAGATTGCTATGGGGTAAAATTTGTATTATTCTACTAGCTTTCACCTACAACTCCATGCAAGTGGAATTTAAAAAAAAAAACAAAATTAAGTAGCTTAACTGTTCTTCTAGACTATCTTCGACATCTGTGTGAAATGGTATCAAAATACATTTAGCCGTTCAGGCTACAAACTTACATCCATTTAAACTTTCGCATTTATAATATTAGTAACATTGATGAGTAACAAAATTGATGTCTGTCAAATATTCTGGCAGCTTCTAGAACGATTTTGAATATTCGATGGACATCAAATAACGGATAGTCTAAGATTATAAATGTGAAAGATGGATAGATTAGTTACTATGTAATACCGGAATGGCTAAACTGTGCCGTTCATGGAGTTTAAAAGTGGTCTTATCATTTAACACACATATTTAAATGTATTCTGTTCGTGACTTTAAGTTTTCTATGGTTGTAGATTCAATTGTGTTTCACTATAGATGTTTATTGAGGTAATTATTATTTTATTTATATTTACAGGTACCATACATACCGGAGGGGCAGTGGTTGTGCAGAAGATGTCTGCAGTCTCCATCCCGGCTAGTTAACTGTGTATTATGTCCCAATACTGGAGGTGAATATTAAATGTATTAATATTTAGATGTAAGATTTTTTAGTCACCAACTTAATTAAACAAGTAAATGTATTGTTGATTGAGTTTTTTTTAATTAACTTTTTTTTTTCAGGTGCATTCAAACAAACAGATCAAGGCACGTGGGCGCATGTTGTATGCGCTCTTTGGATACCTGAAGTGCGATTTGCTAATACCGTGTTTTTAGAACCAATCGGTAAGCAATCAAAGTTTTAGTGATACTTGCGACTAAGTCCACTAGGAATTTTTTTAAAAGTAACATATATAGACTTTTGTTACTCAGAGATATGTACCTATTTATTGGTAAAAATATTTATAAAATTGGCCCATTCTTTTTTGAGTACAGACAACAGAAAAATGCAAAAAATACAAATCTTTCTTCTGTATAATATAAGTATAGATAAATGGTGAACTAGTATAGGTCATATCAATGTGTGGGCGTCACAGCCATATTATGCTTTAATAAAATATAGTCTTCTTTACCTCTCATAACCTCCTCCAATCTGAACACTAATAACCTTACCAATATGGCTGTCGTGTCGTCGAGTTGATGCAACACTCTTATTTTTGACATCCGACTACCATCCGATTATTAACATAACAAGCAGAATTACATTTTAAAATCATGATATAAATGTTCAAGTAATGTTTTGGATTACAATTACCACGCTCATATCGTTATTTCAAACTATGACCAAGGGTATTGATTTATCGTACAGACTAAATAACCTTCAAGAATACGTATTCTGTATTATTATCAATATAGTTAAAAAGCTAACAAATGTATTTGGCTGCTCGTGGTTGCTTCCTGTGCTCCTCGCTAAGATATTTTTAAAATCTAGAAACTAATTGATATGTTTACTAGCTTTCGCCCGCGACTCCCTCCGCGTGGGATTAAAAAACCAAAAGTGTAGCCTTTGTGTTTTTCCATACTACCTTCTACATCTGTGTCAAATTTTATCGGGATTGGTTCAGCCGTTTAATCTACAAACTCTAACAAACGTCCATTCTTCTAAACTTTCGCATTTATAATATTAGTAAGATAATTGTTTGTAGTTAATTTAGTTATTAATCAATTGATTACAGATTCAATAGAGATGATCCCCGCGGCGCGGTGGAAGTTGCAGTGCATGGTGTGCAAGCAGCGCGGCGCCGGCGCCTGCATACAGTGCCACAAGAGCAACTGCTACTCCGCCTTCCACGTCACCTGCGCGCAGCAGGCTGGGTGAGACGTTACACGTTACACTGGTGTTACACAATATATTAATGTTACATGTTACATTGATGTTACACGTTACACTGATGTTACACGGTATATTAATGTTACATGTTACGGTTTATAATGTACGTTACAGTAATGTTACAAGTTACATTGATGTTACCTGTTACACTGATCTTACACGTTACTCGGATATTTCATGTTACAGCAATTTTACATGTTACATTGCTGTTACAAGTTACAGTAGTGTTACATGTTACAATGATTTTACCTGTAACATTGATGCTACATAATACACATATGTTACACGTTACAATAATGATACTGAGAAATACATATGTTATATATGAAATACAATCAAACACTTATTTCAGTTGACAGCTCGTTTATTAATGACGGTTGCTCACACAACCTGTGTGGACATCACAGTTACACTACACACTTATGATGCACGTTAAACTGATGTTACACGTTACAACAATTTCATACGTAATTTTACATTCCATGTCAGTCTTTACCGGATCTCCCCTTGTTTTACATGTGTCACGATAGAGATTGTTACCAGCGCAGGAACTCTTGGGAACTTCCAAGCCGACGAGATATTTGAATTTGATGTTTGATTTGAATACGTGAATATACTTGTTAATTACTACGTTTTTTCAATATTGTGAATTGCGTATGTTACATTTACGTATGTTACTATTACATCGGTGTAACAGTGTACACTACTCAATGTAACACGAGCTGTGACCCGCGACTTCGTCTGCGCGGAGTTACAAAAACAGTAGTAGTGTTTTTCTAGAAGTTCTTTTTTTTCTATCGATCGATCCAAACTGTTATATTAGTGGGATAATGCATGTAATTTGTTGCGTAGGTTGTACATGAAGATGGAGGCGGCGGGCAGCGGGCGGGACCCCAGCCAGCCCGTGCAGGTCGCCAAGATGGCGTACTGCGACGCGCACACGCCGCAGCACATTCTGCAGGTAAGAACTGCATCTATTGTCATTTAAACCATTATACTAGCTTACGCTCGCTAATCCGTCCGCTGGCTATAAAAAAAAAGTACTTCCAATACTACTACTATCATCCTCTATGTCAAATTTCAACGAGATCCATTCAGCAAAACTTCCAAATAGCCTAAACAAGCTACAGATACTAACAAATATCAATTCATCAAAACTTTCGCATTCATAATATTAGTAAGATTAAATGAATGAATTCTTTATCCTTTGTCTGTTTGCAGGAAAGACGTGCCCAAGATTCTGAAGGTGATTCAAAGTCGACAGATCTGTCTGCCATTAGACAGAAAGGAAGGGATAAAATTAAACAGGTTCGCAGCTAAGGCAATTAAAAAATTCAGTATCATTTTTTACACGAAAAATTCATTCTGACACTAATCGTATGGGCAGTAATCCTAGAGCCACTAATCGTAAGGGGCACTACTCGCAGGGCCACTTACAGTAAGAGTTGCTACTCGTAGTGACTATAATCGTGAAGGCACTACTCATAGTGTTCCTATTCGTAAAGTCACTAATCTTAGGAACACTACTCGTAGTGTGTATATTTGTACGGACACTAATTGTAGAGCCACTAATCGTAAAAGACACTAATCATACCGGCACTGATTGTAAAGCCACTAATCGTGAAAAGCTACTAATCGCAAGAGGCAATAATTGTATTGTCACTAATATAATTAGGCACTATTCGTAGAGCCACTAATCGCAAGTGGCAATAATCGTATCGTCGCTAATATTAATAGGCACTATTCGTAGAGCCACTAATTACAAGAGACACTACTCGTAGAGACACTAATCATACGAGCACTGCTCCACTAAATGTAATAGGTGATAATCATAGTGGCACTAATCGTAGAGACACTAATCGTAAGAGATACTACTAGTAGTGACTAATCGTACGTAATTTAATAGTTTGGGCACTAATAGTACGAGCATTAAACGTAGAGCCACTGATCGTAAGGGGCATAAATTGTAGACACTAATCATACGGGCACTGCTCCACTAAATGTAAAAGGTAATAATCATAGTTGCACTAATCGTAGAGACACAACACTCATTTAATAGTTTGGGCACTAATAGTACAAGCATTACACGTGGAGACACTACTCGTCCAGGCACTACTAATAGTGGCTCTCTTCGTATCAGTAACTAGTTGTTCCCGTGCGGCTTCATCCGCATGGAAATATGAAAATGTTATTATGTTTACATTTGTCAAATTATTAATAGCAAATGTCAAAATTACATGACATGACAAACCTTAGCAATCTTGCTTTCTTGATGTTGGCAGCAACTTATGTTCTCTTTCCCACATTGGGGTTTTTATCAGAAATATTTACCCCCTAAGTTTAATGTCGTGAAAATATGTAGACTAAAGCGTGACGTAAGTGTAGGGCTTTTTATGAATAAAAGTATTTTTCAAAAATATGGTGTAATAGCATCTTAGGCAACAAAGTGTGTGTTTACGCTTTATTATAATAGTATAGATAGTGATAGGAGCAGTAGTGGACTGTAGGATAAAATAAAAACTTCTTCTCGGAGATACTGACGCCTTTATTGCTGCCAAGATACTGGACCTCAAATAAGTCAAATACTGTCTATTTATATTTCGCCGCGACCTCAATAACTGCTGCCTCGTGCCATGATTTTATTAGTTGTTGTTAAATCAAAGACACCGCGTCCTTCGCCGCGCGCTGCCAAAGAAACATCAAAGGACGCGACGACAGGGCGGCCGCGGTCATCCGAGGTTACACGTGCCGCGAGGTGCATTCAAGGGCGGCACGTGTAACAGCGAGTAGGCATAGCAATTGCGTCGCCAACAAGCAGTAAAGCGAGTGCGGTGTGTGCAGGCGCGGCGCGTGCTGGCGCGCGCGCGCAGCTGGGCGCCGGTGGTGCTGGTGCCGACGCTGCGTGCGGAGCGCGTGGCGGACGTGGCCGCGCTGCTGCGGGGCCCGGCGGCGGCGCGCGCCAGCCTCATGAAGCGCCTGCTGGCTTACTGGACTCTGAAGAGACACGCCAGGAACGGAGTGCCGTTGCTCAGGCGGCTGCAGAGCTTGGCTACTAATCATGGTACTTATAGTTTAATTCTATTTTCTTTGTCAATTTCTCTCTTAGAGTCACTAACATTGATATTGTCTTTTTTTTGTTTTCTCGATATTTTATCTGTTTTGCCTATGATTTTACGTTGTGAATGGGTTAAAGTTTCTATGTCTATTTTTGGATGGAGGGGGGCGGGACCCCCTAATCATCCCCCGTTTTTTTTATTTGTCTCGAGTACAGAATTCGTATAAATAATGTTCCGGTCTTTACTATTGTGAAATATGTTATATCTATACTAATATTATAAAGAGAATTTGTATATTTGTATTTATTGAAATTTATAAAAATTACAAAGACGATTTTAAATTCTTTCACCACTAAGATATGTTATCTAAGTAACATATATTTTTCTAATACTTTTTAATTCCACGCGGACCAAGTCACGAACAGCTAGTTAATATTATATACGAAAGGTTTGTAATGTGAAGTGATTTAAAAAATGTTTTTTAATTTAAAAAGATATGTTAATAAAGTATTTATTTTAGGAACCCGCGGCATCCAGGACGGCACAGTCAATGTACGAGAACTGTGCAACCAACTTAAGTACTGGCAACGAATACGGCAGGATTTAGAGAGAGCTAGGTAAAAACTTTCTTTTAATGTATATTTTTAAAACATAATTTCCTAATTTTACTACATTTTGTGTTATGGACGTCACTAGCCAATAATAAAGGCTTGGGGAGGGTCAGATAATGTAAATTACTATTTGAATTACTTTTAACATCTATTTTACATTTTTCGAGTAGGCGAGATTGGACAAAAAATTTTCATAAAAGATATTGAATTTTGAATTTTTTATAAAATCGTAAGTGAATTGTGGTCATTACAATTACACGAGTCCGAAAAATTATCTATTTTGCCGACTCTTTATGATTTAGAATTTAGCTTATTTAATTCTAAATTTTTATTATAAAACTAGTTTTTTTTAAACTAGTTGTCCGCGACTTTGCCCATGCAATAATAAAATAAAAAGCAGCCTATAATATGCCTATGTCAGCTACCCTTAAGTGAAAGTCCGGTCGAAATCGGCCCAATCGTTTCGGAGACTACACGAAACAAAAGCGGCTTGCGGACCAGAAAAAAAAAATTAAATGCGATTTTCGTTATCGGCAACGCAAATTCATTATCTTCCCGAAATTTGGAATTTTTCTTTTGATATTACAAACAGACACTCCAATTTTATATATCGGAGTTCGGTCTTCCTCCCCGACATCTTTGATACCTGTCTTGGTTTCGTGGGCGTCATATAGGTGAAGTGTGAGCATAAAAACATCAGAGACACGGATTAACACGATATATTTCGGAATCTACACTTATCATATCGCAAAACAACAACACCGAAAGAGCAGCGGGTTCGTGGCACCGTTCTTACTTATACACTACTTTCCTAAATCGACTCACCACTTTGCCAACACGCACCACAAAATGTTACTACCCCCGTAATGACCACGCTCGAGATATTAAGAGCCAATCGGGGCGCTTGTTCTGTTCTTATTGGTTGTATGCAAGTTGACGTACTTATCGTTCTAAAAAGAACGAATTACAAATGATATCGAGCTTCTACTTTCGATAAAAGGAATTAAACAATATTTTATTTAACATAATTAAAACGTTAGGCAATAACGTTGTGTTATGCAGACGCAGTAGCAGTTTTGACAGTGGTAGTGCCCGCTTTAACATTTCAGCACGAATAGGCCGGCGCGCCCGGTGTTACCACGACCCCACAGAAGACAGGCATGAAATGGAAGCAATTCCGCGTTTCGTCTGATGACTGTGGTGCCGGAGGCCTAATTTAATTCCCTTTCTCTTTACCACCCTTTTCTTATAGGGAGAGGATGGGAACAGATTTGGCGGATTCAGCTAGCCGCTTGCTCGTTTGCCACCTTATGTTATATGATAAAAGCTTATAGCTTCCTGCGACGTATATATGTGTGTGTGTGTGCAGACTGCTGTGCGAGCTGGTGCGCAAGCGCGAGCGGCTGAAGGCGGAGCACACGCGCGTGTGGGAGCGCTGCGTGCTGCACCCGCGCTGCACAAGCTGCTGCGCCTGCTGCGCCAGCAGGACACCAGCGACGTCTTCACAGACCCCGTCGACCTCAACGAGGTCTACTTACACTTTATTTAATGTATCCGTGCTGCCACTAGCAGGCACAGTTTCCTCTGAAACTCCCGAATTTATATTTTAAACTACCTAAGCCCCGCTGTCCTTCGCCCGACCGCGCTGCCATCTACGTTAGTTTATCCAAGGTCAATAAATGTAAACTACAGTAGAACCTCGATAACTTAAACCTCGGTAACTTAAAAACCTCTATAACTTCAGAAACTGATGGGAAGGGATAACATGTTCCCTTCCCATCAGTTCCTGAAGTAATAGAGGTTTTTAAGTCATCAGAGCACAAAACCTCTACAACTTTAAACACGCAACTTCTCTAACTTAAATAAGTAATCTATGTATTGGCATAACCACTATAACATTTTTTTGTCAACAAGTCATTTTGTCTACCAATCCTTCTGAGGCATTCGAGTAAAAATAGGAACAAGGGTTCATACATATGTGCTAGTGTAGTAATAACTAGCTGTTCCCATGCGGCTTCATCCGCATGAAGTTATAAAAAAATAGTTTATTGTTTACATTTGACAAATCATCAAAAGCAAATATCAAAATAACATGACATGACAAACTTTGGCAATCTCGCTTCCTTGATGTTGGCAGCAACTTATGGTCTCTTTCTCACATTTCGGTGCTTATCCAAAATATTTACCCTTTAAGTTAAATGGCGTGAAAATATATAGCCTAAAGCGTGACGTAAGTGTAGGTCTTTTTATTAAAAAAAAGATTATTCAAAAATATGCTGTAATAGCTGACATCGTAGGCAACAAAGAAGTGTGTGTTTACGCTTTATTATAATAGTATAGATTCTTAATCTGTCTTTGTCGTCGTCACCACAAGGTGAACACTGTAACTTGTTAATATGTCCAAAGTCGCGGACAAAAGCTAGTGTAGTAATAGTGAATGAATGTGTCAGGTGCCGGACTACAGCTCGGTGGTGAAGCAGCCGATGGACCTGAGCACGATGGGCAAGAAGCTGGAGCGCGGCCTGTACGCCGACATCGACGACCTGGAGGCAGACTTCAACCTCATGATCGACAACTGCCTCGTCTACAACAACAAGGACACCGTCTTCTATAAGTATGGATACGTTTTTTAGCTGTTATTGTTTACTTAGCTTTAACATCTTTGCACGAATGGGTCGGCTCGCCCGGTGCAATATCACAACACAAGACAAACGTGAAGTGGAAGCAATTCCGCGTACAGTCTGATGAGTGTGGTACCGGAGGCCCAACTTAGTCCCTTTTCCTTCCCACCCTTTTTCTTTTACGAAAAGGATGGAAAGGGAACGTGGATTTGACATTGGAGGAGACGCATAGGAAGGGGAAATATCCTCTTATGTGCGTCTTCTCCGTCGATTAAGGGCAGGCAGCGGTCACTTCGCCATTTTGACGGATTCAGATGGCCGCTTGCTCGTTTGCCACCTTATGATATAAAAAAAGTTGTGTGGTTCCGTCCGGATGGAAAAAAAAGGATGGAGCCTATGTGATCTTTTATAGTATCCTCTACATCTATGCCAAATTTCACCCAAATCAACAGTTCAGATCTTGACTTAACAACAAATATCCATCCATTCACATCTTACCAATATTCTAAATGCGAAAGTCTAGATGGATGGTTGCATGGATGGATGTTTGTTAGCGTTTGTAGCCTAAACTGCTAAACGGATCTCGATGAAATTTGGCTTGAATGTAAAGGGTAGTCTGGACGAACACATAGGCTACTTATTTTGGTCTTTTCAAATTCTACGCGGGCGGAGTCGCGAGCGAAATCTAGTTTATAATATTAGTAAGATATGTACTATTGGTATCCAGGGCTGGTATAAAGATGCGGGAGCAATGCGCCCCCATATTCCGCGAGGCGCGACGCGATGTTCGCGAGGCGGGGCTGGCGGAGGTCGCGGGGAAGGGCCCCGCCGCCGACCCGGATGAGGCCACGCCCCGGGACACTCCCCCGCCCCCGCCCCGCGCCGCTTCCGCCCCGGATATTGCCCCCGTCCCCGCCTCCACCGCAGCGGCGCAGCGCAGCGCTCGCGCACGCAGCAGGGCCAAGAGATCTAGTAGTGAGAGTGAACATACTGCAGGTATCATGTCTCATGTCTCTTTCTCCCTCTCTTTCTCTCTCTTTCTTTCTCTCTCATACACGTTTACATATGTTTCTTAATAGCGAGAATGAGATGTAAAATCATTAGCTGTTCTAATGCAGAATCAATTTGAATAGTAACGTTTTTGTAATACCAGTATTTTATGTTTTCCTTTTGAACGTTTTTAATAAATCTAAAATAAATCAAGTAAAGTATTACTAAGACACGTAAAATTAACGTTAAACAGATTGATTATTGTATAATTTATTATAATATGTCTCAGATACGAGAAGCGAGCGCGCCGTGTCTGTGGCTAGAAGTGAACGACGCATGTCTACTCGGAGGCTGTCTGAAGATAACACGGTATTATATAATATAAACTTAGGGCCTGTCCCACATTAGAACGCGAGCGCCGCCAAGCAACTTCCGTGAGAACTTAGATCATTCTGAAAATAGGGATCGTTGCGAGAACATTTAACGATATAACCTTGGTAGATCGATGATATCCTGACTGAGGAGTATTGTGAATGTATTCCTAGCATCTGACTTTACCCATGGCCGCCCACATGTCGAGTAGTAGTAATTCTGATATCGTGGTAGCTCACGCCGACATATATGTGTGCAGCGCGAGGTGTCGCCGGCGCCGGGCAGCAAGGTGAACCGGAACTGGTGGCGGGGGCGCGGGCGGGGGCGTGGCCGCGGGCGCAGGGGGCGCGGCCGCCTCGCCCAGCCCCCGCACAGGCACGGACATGGTACTTATTTACATTATTTAAACAATCATTAAAATACGTTTATAGTGATCATAGTCGACATGGACAGCCCTCTCATCCAAAGAATTTAATAACCCACCATTTGTGAAAACTAACATGTCTAGTTTTCTTGTTTAGAAAAAAAAAAGTTTAAATTAATGAAAATTATAGACGGTAATCCTTGTAGACATAGTCGAGATTATCATCTGGCAACACCTAGAATGATGCTTTCCCGGCCAAATTCAACATTTTTATCGTGAAAAAACTAAAAATGTTGTAATATTACTCTTCTCTCCCTCCCTCCCTCCCTCTCTCTCTCTCTCTCTCTCTCTCTCTCTCTCTCTCTCTCCCCTCTTCCGCTGTATTGTTCATTTCTGAGGGTCACTTGACTAAATAACTGAAAAAAAAGTGAAATATACTGTCCGCCATACGTTTAACGTTTCTCTGCTTACCTAATTTCGAGCCGAATCGAATAATTTTTAATTCCATTACAGAAACTCCGACATCGGACTCCGAGACGCCAATTATCGCCAGAAAGAGCTCGGAACGTAAACTTGTCACTCCGGACAAATCTCCTGTCAAACAATCTGAACCAAGCCCCAGTAAGTATTAATAAAACCGATTTTGCTATGTTTTATTTGTAGATTCTTGATAATTTGCTAATATTTCCTTTAACCATTCCAACTAAGCTCTAGCCTTGTGCTAGAATATGGTTCACAATAGTCGAATGGATCGAACCCTCGACCACAAGATCGATAGTACGTCACCCAAACCCTTATGCTATTGGCGCTTAAAATAAAACATAACAAAGCCAAGTGGCTACCTGAATACGCTACAATGGCGAAAAATTCGCTGCAGTCTGCACAGTTCCGGTTTTAAAGCTATTAATGTCATTACATTGCCCCCTTTTTATTACACATTGGGGTGGGGGGGGGGGTAATAGAATAATGTGACATTATTACGCCCCTTCTTGTCTATCGCCCAAGGCGGTCACACCATAACCACGCCCTACCCTGACTGGTTCTGCATTAAAATTTTCTATATGCGTTTACCTGTTAACAGGGTAAGGGAAGTACCTTTTTTCCCCTTTTATTCTTTTGTTTTTACTACTTATGCATATTTACTTCCCCTTCCCATAATTTAAAGAATTTTTGTAATAATACTTCTTACTAATATTATAAATGCGTTAGGATGGATGGATGGATGTTTGTTACATTTTGTAACCTAATCTGCTGGACGCATCTCAATAAAATTCGGAGTATATGTAGAGGATAGTCTGGAAGAACACATAGGCTACTTTTGTTTTTTTTATTTCACGCGGACGGAGTCGCGGAACAAAGCTAGTGTATATTATGTTTGTCTATTTCAGGTCTGGGTATGTTGGGCAGTGGTCTAAGAAAGCCGACCTTAATGTTGACCCCATCTACTATCGCAGCGCCAAAGAGTTTCGGTTCTGATGGTGAGTTATTAAAAAACAACATCTTTTACTAACTACTAATGCTATTATAATAATTGTTATTTTTAAATATGCGAATATACAAAAACAACACATGTACAGTCGGGGAAATTGGCGGTGGTACAACTTAAAAGCTACAATCGTTTGAACATTTTAAAACAAGATGTTGAACAAAAATCAATACAAAGTACAATACAATAAAAGTATATGTGCGAAAAAAATCCGGTTAATGGCTATGGCTTGGATACATGGCTAGTTTCTTTTTTATTATTATACTTCCGTTTGCACTCACTGATAACTGTTTAGTTATTTGTAGAAAGAGACAGACTTTGTATCGCTGCAATGAATAAGTTAGTTTTTCTCGAAGTGGAACTCCTCGGATTTCCGTGACTACCAATAATCAAATAGAAATTCTTCATTTCGTACCCATTTGTATTTTGCTCGCCATAGTTGTATTGTAGCATCGGTGGCCTAGTGGTTTGAGCACTTGACTTGTAAACTACAGGTCTTGTGTTCGAATCCCGCTGTACCAATGTGATTTTCGAATTTTCATAGGTACATACTTTACCCGACGTTAATGCGGCGAAGGAAAACATCGTGATGGACATATCGTGAACAACATTCAAAGATATGTGTGAAGTCAACCAACTCATAGTTGGTTGACTTCACACATATCGTATTGGGCCAGTTATTGACTATTGCCTAGTCACTCTTACTTAGTGTAGACTTTGAGGCCCTCAGTGGGGACGTATATTGAGATGATGATGATGATGAATTGTATTAAATTCCAGCGTCCCTGCCGAGCATGTCTGCGAGCATGTCCGCGAGCATGTCTGCGAGCCTGGGCCGCAGCGAGAGCAGTCCGCGCAAGAAGGGCCGCGGCAGACCGCGCAAACATGACAAGGATAAAACCTCCGATTTGTTTAGGTAAGGAAATTATATCATTCTAAGTGTTCCTTAGTAACTTACACATATTTTTAATATTATTACACTTGTATCTTAAATATTTCTATAATACACGGAAATCCACAGTGTTCCACTTATAGAATAAATGCCATGTTCCTTGTAACAAGTCTGCCTCTTACAGATAACAAATTAAAAGTTGATTCCTATTTATTATATCGACGTTTCAGTACATACGAAACCTTCTGTAGCTTTTTAGAAACATCGCCAGATTCCCCGATTGTACTTTATTTGTACCGTTTATACCCGATTGTAATTGTATTAATTAAAATGTATCTAGGGGTGACCCTTGGAAATTGAGAACCTCGTTATTTTCCTTACAATTCTATTAAATTTAACATATTTTCCTTCTCATATCGTTTACTTTTACTCTAATCTATTTAAAAACATAAGTAACCTCCTTAACGACGTGATTGTGCAGGTCCGTGGGGGAGGAGGGCGTGGGCACGCCGGTGCCCGCCTCCTTCCTGCAGTACCGCGGCCCGCCCGGCGAGGTCGGCTCCGACAGCGATCTAGCGCTCTCCAGGTATAATACATATTTATATATAAACTAGTTTTCCCCCGCGACTTCGTCCGCGTGGAATTTAATATTAGTATGATAAATATTGATATAATTGCAGGTCTTCTAGCAGCAGCAGCGCGTGGTCGCAGTCCTGCTCCTCCTGCACGCACTACGACGACGACGACCGCTCCTGCTCATACTCCTCTAGCGATGGGTCTCTATACTTACACTTGTATACACTTACACTTGCATGCACTTGAATACAATTACACTTGCACTTGCATACATTCAATTATATTTGTACACTTACACTTGCATGCACTTGAATACAATTACACTTGCATTTGCATACACTTAATTATATTTGTACACTTACACTTGCATGCACTTGAATACAATTACACTTGCATTTACATACAGTTAATTATATTTGTACACTTATACTTGTATACACTTACACTTGCATGCACTTGAATACAATTACACTTGCATTTGCATACAGTTAATTATATTTGTACACTTACACTTGCATACACTTATGCGTGTATATGTACATCTAATAATTTATTTCAATTCAACAAATCATGTAAAAATAGAAAATTAAAAACATATTGAAATGCCTATAGAAGGTGATAAAAAGTTTGATTAGAAATATAATGATGTTCACGTGCAAAAATATGTAGATTGTATATTATTGGCAGGATAAATAAATGTAATATGTTTCTAGGTCCAGTTACAACGAAACCCTGGAGTCTGCGCTAGAGGGCAGCGGCGGCGAGCGGCGCAGGACCCCGCGCGCGCGCCCCGCCCCACACACCGCGCACAAGGTAACTCACACTGCGGCACGGGAACTTACAACTCCCGTTTATATATACTTATATGCGTCAATTTTAAGTGATCTTAATCATTTTCTTGAATATTTAATTAAACTAGACTCTTTTGCGTCATAAATTTATCGATTTGAGTTATCGATGTTTATAACCTCAAACCTCGGTAACATAAAACCACTATAACTTCAGAAAATAATATGTTCCCTTCCCATCAGAGCCAAAAACCTCTACATAGACCCTTGATAACTTAAAACCTCTATAACTTAAAATATTTTGAACTTCCCTTGGACTTTAACTTATCGAGGTTCTACTGTATTATAAATGTGAAAGGTAGAGTTTGTAGCTTTACCGCTAAACGAATATCTATGAAATTTAGCAAAGATATAAATGATAGGCATACTCGCTGTTGTTTATTTTAAATTCCACGCGGACGGAGACGCGGGCGAAAGCTGGGTTTAATAAAATAATATCTGTATAACAGAAGGACTTAATTAAAGGACTTGACCATTTATCAATGACATTTAGCCTTTAAGGAATCCATAAAACTGTACTAAAAGACTATTTAACTTAGGGTCGAGGCACGAGGTCGTCCACGTCGAAGACTCCAGTCAAAGCAACGCCATCGACCACACATTTAGAGCCATTACAACTTGTGTGGGCTAAATGCAGGTAAAATATCTTCAAATTTGTGTTTTTATTTCATATTGTTTCGATAGGGGTGTGCCAATATCGTTTAAATCTCTTATTCCGAATTTCGAATCATAACGGAGAATGATTTTTCGATTTATTTCGAGATTAATAAAGAAAATCACCGTAATTCGAAAAATATTCGAGTAAAATCGAATCTTATTTTTCGATTCAAAACGATTCTATAAGTTTGCAATATTCGCACATCCCTATTTTTTACTTATGATCGAAAATCGGGCCCACATATGACAAAATTTATCTACATATATCTTTACAGAGGCTACCCTTGGTATCCAGCATTAATAATAGACCCTAAAATACCGAAAGGGTTCATTTACAACGGTGTACCCTTGCCGGTCCCTCCACAGGACGTATTAAACCTAAAGAAAAACCACTCTCACGAACCAGTTCTATATTTAGTACTCTTCTTTGATGTGAAAAGAACTTGGCAATGGCTTCCTCCGAATAAACTTGAAGTCCTCGGAGTGGATAAAAGCTTAGATCAAGCTAAGTTAGTTGAATCAAGGAAACCGACTGAAAGGAAAGCGGTTAAAAAGGCGTATGGTGATGCAATGCAGTTCCGGAAGCAAGTTGACGGTGAAGATAAATGACAAAGGTTCAGATATCGATCCCGGAGACGAAAAGGATTCAGTTTTGGTAATTTCTCAACGATGAGGATTAGAACACCAGTGGGAAGTACAGATTCGAGCGACTAAAATAATTTAGAGGATTTTAGGCTTTGGTTTTTTATATTATTCTACCATTATAATAATACTAGCTGTTCCCATGTGGCTTTATCCGCATGAAATTATGAAAAAATTGTTTTATTGTTTACATTATCAATTACAAATGTCAATATAACATGACATAATGAACCTTGCTTCCTTGATGTTGGCAGCAACTTATGGCCTCTTTCCAACATTAAGGTTTTTATCCAAAATATTTACCCCCTAAGTATAATGGCGTTAAAATATGTAGCCTAAAGTGTGACGCAAGTGTAGCGCTTTTTATAAAAAAAAATATCCTGTTATTGCTGACATCTGCAACAAAGAAGTGTGTGTTTACGCTTTATTATAATAGTATAGATAAATAGGTAAGATACGAAATGAGAATATTAGAGGAAGTCTGAGAGTAGTCCCCAGTGGTAGAGAAGGTAAGGAGTAAAAGGTTAGCACGTTATGAGGAGGGATGAATTGCATGTTACAAGAATGTTAGTTATGAGTGAGGAGGTACACCGGGTTCTGTATAAACTAAAAAATTAATAAAGGGAACGCAAGAACTACTTTAAAAAATCATTTACCATTAGGAACTCAATGGAATAAAATAGGATTTTATTTGTGTATTCTAGCAAAGCTAGTATGATTGTTAGATTTTTGCCTTAATATAAAAGTAACATAGATTTTTATAGCTTTATAAATAAGGTTTTTTCATAAATAGTAAGTACTTAAGAATCCCACCTGATATTACAATTTAATCCATTTAATGAAAATAACTACATCTTTTAGATTTACATTTATTTACACCGACAGTATCCTCCGAAAGATCATTTTTTTTGTGTAATTCAATTATTAGAACTAATTAATTACTACAAACAATATGTAACATTTAATAAAACATACAAGCATAGTATATTTCAATAATTTCGTAGTTTATTGTATTTATTCAGAAAATTACGATATAAGTAAATTTAGACATTGGTCATAGTATTTTAATGCTAAATTTTAATCAGATATGTCTTATAAGAAGTAAATTCTGTATCCTAACTCTTTTTGTAGTATTTTAGCCAATAAAGCTAATTTTGTTTAAAAAAAGTTTTTATGTTTGATATATAAAAATCTCATTTTTTCTAAAATATAAGATATTTCGTTTTCAATTGTCATGTATAAAGTAATTTATTGCTATTATTATAAAATCTTTGTTTTAATTGATTAAAAACATCATTTTGTACTGAATGTGTTTTATTGCCTTTTTTACCTACCTGATTGAAATAAAGTTTCTGGTAAATAATATTATAGGTAACAGGGTGTAAAAAAACAACCAATTCAGACTATTTAATTGAATCTATATTTAACAGCATAGATTTACATTAATTATTATAATAGTGCTGATCCCAAAGATGAACATTTCCAGGTCTTGGGACTTTTACTGAAGCAGTTTTAGGTTCTCTGAAATAAACAAAAACAAAGTAAGATAAATCTGAAGACATTTAATAAGATATTTGAATTTCTATGACAATCATTGTCTTAAATAACACTTTACAAGAGTTTTAAGAATTTTGATAAATGAAGTATGCTACTTTGTAACAAATATAAGTGTCTTATTTGAGAACAGCCTCAAGGAAAATTATCGTAACACAATATGAATACAAACATTGTAATGCTTAATGTGATTAAGTGTAAAACTTACCCCTTTTGGGCACCATCAGTCAGCAGTTGTTGTGTAAGATCAAGGGGTGGCGCCACTTCTCTTCTGCCATCGCGTGTATAGTAATAGTTGTGAGCATGTCTGTAAAATTGTTTCTTTTAAAATATTCTTCGGAAATATAAATTGTTAAACCGCTAATTTTATTTTTTACCATTACCATTACCATTGTAATGATCTAATTTTAAATGGTTTTATGTGTCGTTAAACAAAACAGTATTTAACAATTTACTTGTGTGTAACTCCATCAGGAAGTTCTGGTTGTGGTTGTGTTCTGGGTGCCATCAACGGCTGGAACCGCAAAGCTATCTTAAAGTTTCTCTAAAATAAAAGAAAACAAATATTAAATACTAACAACAAGACAATCATAAATTACGTAACATTTAAATTAACACAAAACGTACGCCTAAAAGGAAGTTTCTGATGATTTGTATGCTAGTTGAAACATCGCGGAATTCCACTTTTGGTTTAGGCATGGTTATTGCAATATTCTCACAGTAATAATCCGATAAACACGATTTCTTTTCTGGTTAACTATGACATTATCAGCTGTTATGACAGCGACATTGACATATGACTTTGACAGTTTAAATTGTATCTCTGTTTCTTTCTACGCAGTAAATCATTTGTTAAACTAAAATTATCTAAAAAGGTGTTAAGGCTAAATATCAGAATAGTCATCATATTTTTTATTTTAAAATGTTTGACAACGACATTTAGTTATTTCGATTTTTTAAATTAAAATTTACCAATGGCTTTTATACTAAAATCTCTTAATTTGTACAAGTTTTACAAGAAAAATTTGTTAGAAAATGTAATAATTACAAAGGTAACGTAAATTTATTCACCCATTGTCCTCCATTCCTTTTCAGCAGATTTAATGATAGCGTCTCAACGATTTCAAAAGTTATAAGTACCAAGTTAAGACTCTTTAGCTTTTGGCGTACTATCATTTAAACAACCCAAATAGCTTTTCAGCTATCTTTCGATAGACTTTATCTGAAAGTTCAAATGTTCTTACACCCTTCATTTGAGCAGTCGAAATATAATGTGCAGTAAAGTGAAGAAATTGATTGATTATAGCGTTCTTCGACCTAATTTAGTAAAACTAAAATCTTATTGTAATTTTTAATCAGGTTAAGCCTCTTGCGTTCATAAGTACTGAAGATTCCTCAGAAACGGTTCCCCTGCCCAATCTTCAACGTTTATCGAACAGGTATTAGTGTTTGCGAATTGTATGTTAGTTTTTAAGAAATCCGATGCAAATTTTAATATAATTTATTTACAGGAAATTTAAGAAAAGCGTAATAAATAATTTTTGTGTACCAACATCCCCCACTTGTGAATCTGTACTAGCTGGTAATCCACAAGCTGTGGATCGTCGTGAACTTTTAAGGTAAGATTTTTTTTATTCAACTCTTGTAAATTCCTACATGTTTAAAGATATATTTTCTCGTTATTTTCATTTCAGACAAGATATAGTAAATAAATGGGAACAGAAAACTAAAATGAATCCGAAAAATAATTCAACTATATTGCTTGGTATAGCGTTGTTTGGAGAAATTCATAAAAACTAACAAATACAAATAAAATTGTCAAATTTAATGAAAATAAATAATTGTGTGAGAACCATGCAAAACATAAAAAAATAACGTATAATATGGCTTCGTTTAAACGGGCTACAAACTAGAATAGAAATGCGGAAAAATATGAAATAAACTGACCACACATTAGAAAATAATAGTAAGCCAATTGAACCGCCCGCGGCAGGATTTTAAAAATCCTTAGTTGGTTGTACACTACAGAACAGCAAAAAGAAAAAGATCAAAATACTTTACCTTGAAGAATGTTCATAGTTCAATTGTACTGCGTGGTTTTATGTGTTCCATTCATTTGTATGGATAAATAATGTCTTTCGAAATAAAATTTGATGTATTTAATGTAATAAATTGTAAAGGTCAATAAATTTTAAATCGTAAATACTTTTTATTGCACATAAGAAAAATTAGGCCAACAATCATAATATTATGCATTGACAAATTATCACAACTGCTTTTTTTTTATTTAACCGTTATACAATTCAAATGTAAATTATGCATTACATTATTTACAGAGAATATGAAATTTAGTAAATTCGTTGCAATTTTATTTAAACAATTCCTTTAAGTGGCATTTAATAAGTTATTTTCTTTAAAAAGCATTTAAAATTTTAAAACACTGTTGCCATCGTACATAACCTACATTTCGAAATGTCATTTTTTATTTGAAACGACAACACCAAGGAATTTTAATTTTACCCAAAGACTATTTTTCGCCTTATATTTGTGCTCTATAGGTTATATGTCTATGGTATTCTAGTTTTTAATATTTTTATCTGCCTGACCTTGAGGGCAACCTCACTTATTTTTTCTTATAGTGACAGGTAACAAAGTTTTCAATTCTCCATGTAACATTCTGTTCTGCGTAACGACTCGTACGCATTCTGAGCGGACAAGTTAAAATAATACAAGTGTAATTAAAACTATGTTTACAATGATATATAATGTTTGATCACGAGCACACTGCAAAGGAAATATAGGAACTTTTTTATAAATAAAATCAATAATTAATAATACAAATGATGCACATGTAACACATCGAACTTTTTGACTCCATATAGCGCTATCTCTGTCACACACTGGAAATATGACTGCAAGTGCCACAGAGAGAACGCTATACAATGCAGAAATTGATATTTTAGTCTATGAAAATAATAAATAGCTATTTTTAACAATCTATTTACAGTACTCTAATTTAAAAATTATATATGTGCATTTCAACCATAGTGAATTTACAAAGTTAGGCAAAATTCCAAATTGGGGGTTTAATTTTTTCGTTGACAATTTGTATACCATAAAAATCTAAAAACAACAATTTTAAAAAATCTATCATAATTTGCTGTCGAGTTACTGTCAAAAATACTGCCATCTCATTGGTGAATTATTTTGCTATAATTTGTCATTCCAACATTCCATAAAATAAATATAATAGTTTTAAAAAAGAAAGCAATTTACCATATTTCTCTTAAGCATTAAGTACATAATAAAAAATACTGATTAAAGGGTAAAAATCTTTGAAATTGTGCCCATTAAATTAACTATAAAAAAATCCCTTACATTTATAAATTAAATCCTAAATTTGACACATTTCACTTACACAACTTGACTAGTTTCATATTTTATAATTAAATTAATTGAAATAGGACTCAGGAATTGAGGTTAAAATTAATAGGAACATATCTACTAACTAAAGGTTTATATAAAATGTATAAACAATATAATGAGTTGTCAATAAAGGAATGAAAATCTCTGTAATAATTATAAGATAAATACTGATAGCTTCTAAACAATTTATAGTCAGACAAGTTATCCTCTGTGCCCACCTGTCAAACATATATGTCAAATTAATTATGACAGCTAATGTCACTGTCAATGTCAAAAAACTGTCACAAGTATCTGTAACTTTAAAGCGGGCACACACCTTTGATTAAACTATCACATAACTGTTGTGCGATTGTCGTTTGTTTCGCAGCAAATTTAACTGTTTAGTTGTACAACTAAAATTCGAGTAGTGTAACCCCATATTAGCTCATAGAAATCAAGGCAAGACTAAACAATTGTGCGATAGTTTAGTCAAAGATGAGATCGCGCTCTTAATTTATGGTTTAATATTCCCATTTTGGTTTTATACATTTTCTAATACTAACCGGGTTCGCACCAACTCTTACCAGCTTAGATATAGTTGTCTAGTCGAAACTCCAATACTGATAACCCAGTAACTTATTTAATAAAAATAGGTAAATTTATAAAAGCTCCAGAATATCAGTTTCGTTGTGCATTTTTCTATATTTTCTGATATTATTAATTACTCTTCTTTTAACAATTTCTATCTGTCTGTACATATCTTGAGTAAACGGGTCAAAGTCCTGTAGCTTTTTAATACGTCTGTAGATACCTTCCTTGTGTGTCAGGGCGCAGTCCATATCATTCTGATGACAATAAATTTATTTTAATTATATATCCCAATAAATAAACGAAAAAATAAGGCAACTATTACACCTGTGATTTTGTTTTTAAATGTTTAACCATAGACATTATGCTAAAAGTCGTGAATTCCAAAATGTTTTTGGTATTTTTAAAAATAATTATATGTGGATAGGTATTTTTAATTGTCAGAAAAAGAACCATGTAACGAAGTATACTTATACGATCTTCAATGTGTGGACACTTTTTAATCTGTTTTTCTGTTTACATAAATGTAGGGTTGGATTTTTTTTCTAATACAAGGTGGCAAACAAGCAAGCGGCCACCTGAATCCGCCAAAATGGCGAAGCGACCGCTGCCCATAGACATCAGCAATTGCAGATGCGTTGCCTACCCTTGTCCGACGGAGGAGGAGATGCACATAAAGAGGATATTTTCCTACCTATGCGTCCCCCCCACCGTCAAATCCACTTCCCCTTCCCATCCTCTCCTTATAAGTAAAGGGTGGTAAAGAGAAATTAGGCCTCCGGCACCACACTCATCAGACTGTACGCGGAATTGCTTCCATTTCTCGCCTGTCTTTTGTGTGGTCGTGGTATTACACCAGGCAAGCCGGCCCTACAGTCCTAAGATGTTAAAACTGGTTCTACCACTGTCAAGATCATAGCGGGACAAGTGATTTACAATTACATTGTAGCTTACAATTACTTTTATGAAAATAACCTTCGGAAACTATTCAGTTTTTCTGTTTACATAATTTCAGGGTTGGATCAAGTATATACTTTAATAAAATTGAAGACTTACTTCTGTGAAAGTATAATTTAAAAAGTTCAGTATGCCTTGAAGGGTATTCTTTGTATCTTTAACTAATGTCTCATAAAACACAATGTACGCTGTTCCTGGAAATTTCGTTAACCACAGATCATGTAGTGTCTCCCAAGTTTTCAGCTGTATTGCAACATATGCAGACCAATCTGGAATAAAAATAATAATAACCATTTAATTCCTAACAGATAAACAAGTACATAATAAAAGTATTTATAACTATGTACTGTTTACAATGAGAAAAATATGTTGAATATGTCGCGGACTGTTGCTAGTCTAATCTAATAATATATATTTAAAACATTACTTATAAGTTAGAAATCTTCACTAATATTATAAAGAGGTAAGATTTGTATTTTTGTATATATTGAAATAATTTAAAAATTACCAGGGCCATTACAAAAATTCTTTCACCATTAAAAAGCTATATTATCATCACATCATACTAATATTATAAATGCAAATGTTTAGATGGATGGATGTTTGTTAGAGTTTGTAGCCTAAACGGCTGAACGGATTTAGATGAAATTTGGTACAGATGTAGACGATATTCTGGAAGAACACATAAGCTACTCACTGTTGTTTTTATTATTTCACGCGGACGAAGTCGCGGGCGAAAGCTACATACATAAAGTAAATATATACTAACCAGTTCTCTTTCGTTCACGAGATCTTTTCTTGAAAGCGGATTTCGGTGCTGTACCAATATGACCTTTATGAAGTCTGTTAAAATCTGCCTGAAATAAAACTAATGTAAATAATAATGAAAATCATGCATGTTGTTAACTTAAAAGCATGTAAGCAAACATTTGAAATATGGTGTAAACAAAAAAATACTTTGTGATAAATAAATAGTGAATAGGCATGGGGTGAATAGAAATAAATACAGAATTTTTTTTTTATATTACTATATTTATATAATCCTTCTTAACAAATACTAATTTTATCAATATAACTATAACTAACTTTTAATATAACTTATTAAGTATGTGTTTTTAGACTTGTTCTACATTTGACTTTCAACAAGATCTGTTAAGCTGTTTTAAGGATATGTTGTAACAAACATACTTGAAACATAACTTTCACATACATATTAGATTACAGTAAATTAATTACTAATAAAAAGTCTATATGTCGTAAATATTCTACTTCTGTGTCTGTTCACCCCATTTTATGATAGTAAAAATAACGACAAATGATATTTACCTGTGATAGAAGCTATAAGCTATAAAACTAAAAACTGTGCTTGTCATATTCACAGACACTGAAATAAAAAAAACATGGATCTAGTTTAAAAATACAACATGCAGGTGATTTCAATAATTAGTTAAACATTAAGTACATTAAAATGTTTTTTAGACAATTACTATTTTTACCTCATTAAAAAAATATAAAAAAAACTATATTGAAACACTGTTTAATATTGTTTTAATTTAGTGCTTCAAAATAACATTTAACATAAAAGATACAATTAACAAAAAATATTCATGCATTAAGACATAAAATGTTATTTATATATGGGGAAAGCTTTGTACAGTCACCTTCGTATGCAGTATTCCAGTTACAACTTGCTTCAATTCTTACAATAAACTAAAACTCCATAACATATAAATGAACAATGTTAAATTTTTTGATAAAAATTACTATGCATAAACTACACCAAAGCTGTGACCATTGTTTTTTATCTTAAGATGGCAAACAAGCAAGCGGCAACCTGAATCCGCCAAAATGGCAAATGGACCGCTGCCAATAGACAATGGCATGTAGAAGATGCATTGCCTTCCTTAAATTAAGAGAGAAGGAAATGGACATACATTGTTTCAAAGCATACAAGACTCAAAACATTTAATGCTTTCATTCTAGAACTTCACTGAAGGGACCATTTCAGACAAAATATTGCAGTTGAAAGCAACAATTAAGTGGAACACCGCAAACAAAGGTGACTGTACACAAAGTTCACATACACACGAAATTGACAACAAAAAATATAGAGATTTGTATATGTTTTTACCAATATGGCATCTCTAGGATTCCTTATTAATAACACAGCTGATTTAAACTTATCAGGCTCAAGTGGTGGAGCTTCATGAGTCTTTACAACAAGCACTGAGCCATCGGTAACATTTTCAGCTGGAAATCCATGCACTTTTAGACCAAAATCCATATAAATTGAGCCTGTTAAGACACCTGAAATGTTGAAGGTAAGAAATGATTCAGTTAATGTCACATTGTGAAATTATTTCAAATACTGGGAATGGAAAATTTATTAACACTCAATAATCAGTTCATTTCTTTAGGCTCCAAACTCAAAGGAACTTACAAACACACACAAACTTATCACTACATGGAAAATTTCCTAAGTTAGTGAAAATGGGATTTGTGAACTATTAAGATGACTCAAACCTTTTTAACAAACATCAAAAGGAAACCCTCCTTTTAAATTGTTTATATTTTTATAACTTCAAAATTCCAGGATTGTCCAATTTACATTTTTTAATTTATTTAATATTTGTCAATTTGTTCCCTTTTTTATTACCAATGATGTATATTAATATTATAAAAAGATTTGCATTTTTGTGAGCATTGAAATAAAACAAAAACTACTGGGCCGATTTAAAAAAATATTTTACTGCTAGAAAGGTATCTGTGAGTAACAGGTTATATTATAATATTTATTAATTTCACCGCAGGAAGTCGCAAGCAACACCTGGCAACTAAATAAACAAGTAACTTACCAGTGACTTGCTGCAAAAGATATCTGAGCCAAGTATTCCCACTACCAGGATAAGAAACAAGTGCTACTGGATACGGTAAAGGAGGTGATCGCCAATGTAACTCCTTGCACCAGTTTACACTAGGCACAAGTCTTAATCCCAAAGGGCCTATATAATTGTTGCCGTAGTAAACATTCCCTGATTCATGTATAGGACTTAATAAGAATAAGATAACAGAAAAATATAAAAACACGATAGCGGACACTAATAAGAAAATTGGTTTTCGCATTATTAGGTAGTATTTATACTTTAATCAATAAAAAACACAAAACTGCTTATACTCAGTTTGTAACAGAATTGTTTTTGCATTCACTTAACGAATTTCTGTACGGATGTAATACTCATACACGTTGATAAATATTGATTTTGATTAAAGCTTTAGCGATAGCGAATATGAAATCAAATTAAACGCTGGACATGACATGACATTGACAATCAAATCAATTGATATTTGACAGGAAGTAATAAGACGATTGATCGTGTAAAAGTAACCATAGAGAACTTTCTTTGCGCGCATAATTTAGTATAGCAACATACCTCTTCACTTTACCTTTACTTGTCAGTTAGCAGTCAGGAACAAATGTCAATGTCGAAGTGTTATTTATTTTGCGACTTGTTATTTTATTTAAGCTAAAATTCATAATCATTACTCAGATAATTACTCATTACGAAGCAAATTTTTTTATAGACTATTCAATATTCCATCTAATATTTATGAATGAGAACATAACCTGTTGCAGAGATATTTTGTGGTTATAAAAGTTTTACAAATACAATAAAAATGGATATAGCTGATAATAAGAGTGAAAGTAATGGACGAGCTGTAATAAATTTCTTAAAGAATAATATATACAAATTAGAAAATGCAACATTAGAGGTTGAAATGAAAAAAGATTTTTTATTTGCTAAAAAAAAGAGTAAAGAGACCAAAAAGAAGCAACGGAAGAAGAAAACCAAAACTTTAACAAGAAGGGAAAAAAAGGCTATGGGTTTTTATGACATTCCTAAGAATGGGGTGAAATATTTAGATGTATTGCCAATGAATGATATATGGGAGGGTTACATGAGTGAATTGCTCGAGTTAGATAAGCAGGTGCCAGAATGCAATAGCAAAGGCTGGGAGCAATTTACACAAACTTTATATCGAGCAGACTTTCATGGTAGCCTTCTAGAAGTTATAAGATCAAAATGTCCAAGCTATGTGGGGAAAAAAGGTATCTGTATTATGGATACTAAAAACACATTTAAAATAGTTTCAATTAATAATTTAGTAACAACAATACCTAAACGTGAGTGCGTTTTTGATATGTATATTAATGGGATGAAAATAACATTTTTTGGAAAACATTTATGTATAAGACCAGCTGAACGGTCTACAAAAAAAATTAAATCAGTTTTACATCCTGATCTATGATACTAAATATATTAAATAATAGGAAAAATACTTTAATGGCAAGAAAGATATATTAATAAATTACAAGAGATGATCTAAATAAAAGCAAATACTGGCACCTTCATTTTTTTTGTTTTTTTTTTTACAATGAAGATTACTAAGACATGCTCTCATTTGTCAACCCCTACAACTGGTAACCCTGGTGTGAATACAAAACAACAAATAACACAAACAATATAAGTAATATATTTGAATACCAACATGCATAAGATTAAAAAAGGTAATATAAGGTTGTACAAATAAATTGAGCAACATTTATCTAGAACACTGTTTACAGTGCATGTGTATGAAAAATATAAAAAATTAAAGCCACTGGTAATGTTTTACTTCATTGAAATTAAAAAAAAAAAACATATAAATCAATTAAGTTGTTAATAATATTGACTCCTACATAATAAACATGATAAGTAACAATTACAGTATTACAGTACAGTAATTACAGTATTTTACAAAGCACAGAATAAAAAGTAAAAAAAATGATCTATCTTGCATTTTTTCTTTAACAGGGTAAATATTTAAGCATGATATGGTTAAGTTCTTTTGGGTGTCATTTTATTGACTCGATTATTTTAGTGTATACTCTTGTTCTTACTATATCTATCTGTCTGTACATATCATGAGTATACGGATCGAACTCTTTGTATTTCTTCTTGCGCTTGTACAAACCTTCTTTGTTCGCTAGCGCGCAATTCATGTCGTCCTAGTAACAAAAAGTTAAAAAAAAACAAAAACACCCTACTATAATGGCTACTAAAAAAAAACGATAAAAAGCTATTCAAAAAAGACGAAAAAACCGGTTAGGTTTTTCAAATTACTTGCCTATTTATCTCCAAAAATGTACGAACTACCGATATTTGTTCGGAATATAAATTAAGCTACTTAAGCTGATTACATATTTTAATTAAATGAACATTTATCATATATTAATATAAATTTTAAATTTTTTGGACGAGTATACTAATATTATAAATGCGAAAGTTTAGATGGATGTTTGTTAGCGTTTGTAGCCTAAACGGTTAAACGGATATCCATAAAATTTGGCACAGGTTTAGAGCATAGTCTGGAACACATAGGCTACTTTTATCCCGGGAATAGTTACGGTTCCCGTGGGATTGATTAATTTAGTTTTTTAATGTTCACTCTATCATTCTGCAACGGTTCAACATATCTTATTGAAATTTGGCACAGATATAAAACAAAGTCTGGAGTACACATGAGATAAGCTTCATCCCCGTGGTGTCCGGTTTCCGAGGGATACGTAGCTTTTTGTAATTTATATAGTTCGTATGTTTTGTAATACCACGCGGACGAAGTTGCGGGCAACAGCTTGTATTGATATAAATTTTAAATTTTTTGGACGAGTAAAAGAAGTGTATAAAAAAATTAATTCTTACCTCAGTAACAGTGATATTTAAAAAATTCAATATCCCTAGAAGTGTTTTTCTGGTATCGGTTAATAATGCCTCATAAAATACTATATACACTTGCCCAGGGAACTTCGTTAGCCATAAATTATGGAAATATTCCCAGTCCCGCAATTGTGTTGAAAAATAAGGAAACCAAACTGAAATACAATAAACTCAACGTAAAAAATATTGCAAAAAATACCGATAAGATACAAAATTAATCCTTTATTTGCAAAACATTATTTAAAAGTAATTTATCGATTATCCAAAATAATTTCGCGCAACTTAAGAAATTTTAATTGTCGGTTATTCTTATTTTTAGTCAAACTTTTAATGCGTATTGAAATATCTGCAATAGACAATAATTGTACAGTAATTAGAGAAACAACTTAGGGATTTTAAACATGTACCGTAGAGTAGGTCTAAATCAAACCTAACTGCCGGAAGCATAGACAAAATATTTGTTTCAAAAGCAAATCATAATTCAACTAAATAGTAATAAAAGTTGGTTTAACTTTGTACGTTAAATTTAACATTGTTATCTTTTAAAATAGCATAATTTCGTATGTAAAAATTTACTAGGAGCGTGATCATTTTTAGAGATGATATCGGTATACCGTCAACTGGTTTTGAAGGGTACGGTAACAAAACATTATGAGCTGGTGAGAACTGTTGTGTTATGTGGTTAATACACTTTTTAAATGTTTTAACACATACTATACTGAAAATTGAGAAATACAGGGTAATTAAAAATAGGCACAAACAAAATACCAAGTCTCTTAAGTGCCGGGATCTCGAAAGCTGATTTTGGGGCATTGCCTGTGTGCCCACTATTGTGTCTATTAAATTCCGCCTGAAATAAAAAGTATTAAATTTTACCATTGTAATAAAATACACATAAAACATTATTCCAATATAAATTTATTAACAATACTGGCTTTAGTACGCGACTTGACATTTATAATATTGAAATGAATGTGTTATATATTAAACGTAAATAAGACAACGTGGAACGTTGACACAAATGCAGTAATAATCATCAGCTCACTATAAGTCCCCACTGAGGGGCTCGAAGCCTACCCTTAGTTAGGGTGACTAGGCCATAGTCAACCACGCTGGCCCACCGCGGGTTGGTTGACTTCACACATATCTTTGAATTTCTTCGCCGATATGCGCAGGCATCATGATATTTTCCTTCACCGTAATAACGTGAAGAACACCGTAAATTATGTACGTATGATAATTCAAAAAATCGAAAATTACATTGGTACATGTCGGGATTCGAATCCAAGACCTTTCTTCATAGAATCAAATAAAATAATGAATACTAAAAATTAATAGTTACCAGTATAGCGTCTCTTGGATTCCTGATCAGTAACACGGCTGATTCGAATTGTTCCAGAGTTTTAGGTGGGTATTGATGGGTTTTCACAACAAGTACTGAGCCATCAGAAATATTTTCAGCGGGAAATCCATTACTACGTAGATTATAATCCAAATAAACAGAACCCGTTATAATACCTGCAAAAAATAATTACATTATTTAATATAAGGATTATTTTTTTGAATATGCCAACAAAATAATTACTTGGTAATTCGAGTAATACGCATTACTTACCAGTGGTCTGCTGCAATAGATACCTAAGCCAAGTATTCCCACTACCAGGATAAGATGCAAGTGCTATTGCGAAGGGTAAAGGTGGCATTCGCCAATGCAATTCCTTACACCAATATACACTTCGATTGTTCGTACTACTTTTATCGTTTGAAATTTGCTTAGCGTAATTATTAACCACAGTGAAAATAAAAAATATATAAAAGGAGGCGACAGTAACCACTAAAATTGAAATCAGTTTTCGCAACATTTTAATAATGTTCTTGGACAAGGGCATTAGAATTGTTGGTATAAAAAAAGTTTTAAACCAACATAAATTAGTTGTAAAAAATAACTGGAATGATATCTTTTTTTTTTCAATTCATTGATGTAATATTTTTTTACAGTGTTAATAAAGAATTTAAATAGATATCCACAGTAGTACCTGTTAACGCAAAAAAATGGACCGAAAAAAAACTGAATGAAATTCAATTTGATAAGATTTTTGTATTTGAAGGTAACAGAACTGATAACATTGTCAAAGACATGATGGTTAACTGTCTATAGTTACAGTGTTGCTAGAATATTACGTTGTTTTAGTAGAATTTTATAAAATTTCCGTCAATTCTCCACTGTTACTTATACTTGTAAGTAACAAGCAAGACAATTTCTTTAATCATGCACCGGGTTGATTAACATCCATAATACTAGAGGTACTGTAGATTTTGTTACTGGCCTTTCAGAAGCTACGTACTAAGTACTACGTTCGCTGAAGAAATGTTAGTCATAATTGTCAGTCGACCTAATTTAATTAATCTAATTTACCAGTCACAAAGCTTGGGTCCACAAAAAATGAAGTACTATTAAACTTTCCTATGTACTCCAAAAAACTCAACACAACCAAATCGTAGTCCTGATAATGGTACTTCCGGTACGATTAAAAAACAACAAAGAATAAGACAAATATAATATAGGACAACAATAAATGGTACAAAAATAAGAACATAATAAAGCTAAGTTGTCGTATAAATAGACGATTGTATAATAAAATAAAATTAATTAAAAACCATATTTTACGAAATTAAAAAATGACGGTATTTTGCGCCCTTTTCTCGAACAGCTTTGGTATTGTTTGAGTTAGTGCAAAATAATATTCATCAAAATCTTTTAATCATTTCATTTACGGCATTCCGTCTCATTTTGTTGAATCAATGATTTTAGTATATACTCTTGTTTTAACTTTGTTTATCTGTCTGTACATATCCTCAGTAAATGGGTCGAAGTTTTTGTACTTTTTATTTCGTTTGTATAGGCCATCTTTGTTCAAAAGCGCGCAATTGATGTCCTCCTAGTAACAGAAAATGAATTAAGTTAAAAAAAATTGCAAAAATCTATTTCTTTTAAAGGATGCCGTGATAAAAACTGTTCGGTGTTTCAACTTTATTAGATCCAGATATTTGTTCTTTGCTAATTATCTTTAAATACAATTAATAATAAACGTGAAATATATCAAAATAAACTTATGAGAAAAGGAATAGGTTGGAAGAATCACACAAAAATGTATCCTTAAACCTTAAAAACTGACCTCAGTAACAGTGATATTTAAAAAACTCAGTATCCCTTGAAGTGTACCCCGAGTATCGCTCAATAATGCCTCATAAAACACTATATACACCGGTCCAGGATATTTTGTTAACCATAAATTATGAAAAAACTCCCATTTTCTCAATTGTAATGAAACAAAAGGAAACCAAACTGAAATAAAAATCTCAACTTAGTCAAAACATACCGATAACATACAAAATTGATCACAAGATGAAGAAAACATGTTTCCAATAATAGCAGCTCCTAAATTTCGTAAATAGAAAATATAAAATTATACTATACTAGCTTTCGCCCGCGATTCCGTCCGCGTGGAGTTAAAAAAAACTAAGTATCCTATGTGTTCTTCCAGACTGTACCTTACATCTGTGCCAAATTTCATCGAGATCAGTTCAGCCGTTTAGGCTACAAACTCTAACAAACATTTATCCATCCATCTTTACTTTCGCATTTATAATATTAGTAGGATACGATTAGTAAGATTAATGTCTTCTAAATATCGATCGAAAAACTGGGGAACCTAACTGACGTTAGACGCGTAAACTAAAGGCTTGTTCCTCCTAGAGATTTCAAATCTTTTAACAGTAAAATATTAATGATAGATACCGTTGGAGTAACGCCGTCTTCCCAGATCTTCAACCGTTCTACTGGCAAGAGTTTGTACAGTACAAGCGGCGTTGGAATACTGTTTGGTCGGAAGCCAAGACCCACGTTGTGTCGCTGCGGCAGCAGAGAGTAAAAAAGATAACTAAAACACTGAAATTAAATTTGGACTAACTAGATTTTAGAATCGTAATGGTCACTTGATGTAAATTGCCTTTTACACATTGTTTCATTGAAAAATCGAAAAATAACTACCAATGATACCAGTAACCTACATTAATTCAATATGTATGAGACCATCTTCAATATAGTACGGAAAAACATAGCTTATTAATATAGACAAAAATAAAATAGGTACTAACAAATTCTCTTTGGGGCCCGTACTTTCATCTCGAAAGCAGATTTCGGGGCAAGGCCTGTGTGCCCACTAATGATTCTATTAAATTCCGCCTGAAGTAATAAATACGAGTGTTATATAGTACATAGGTGCAATTTTGCTCCAGCAAAATAGCACGAAAACTTCTATGCAGGAAGAAAAATTATATAGTACTGATTACGATATATCATAGGATTGCAGTAACCTATATCGTAATAGTCATTATTTAAAATGTGTACCAGTATAGCGTCTCTTGGATTCCTGATCAGCAACACGGCTGATTCGAATTTTCGAAGATGTTTAGGTGGGTATTTATGAGTTTTCACAACAAGTACTGAGCCATCAGATATATTTTCAGCGGGAAATCCTCGTTTACGAAGACTATAATCCAAAGATACCGAACCCGTAACAATACCTGTAAATTATTCACAAAAACAATCAACTCTGTACTTTATTTAAAAAAAAATATTTAGCAACGCACAAACGATATAACTGTTATACGGAGACAGTCAAGTAAAATCACAACTTACCAGTGGCTTGCTGCAAAAGATACCTAAGCCAAGTATTCCCACTACCAGGATAAGATGCAAGTGCTATTGCAAAGGGCAGGGGCGGATTTCGCCAGTGCAATTCCTTGCACCAGTTTACACTTGTATTGCTCGTAACACTTTTGTCGTTTGAAACTCGCTCCGAGTTAATACTTGAAGTAATTGAAGGAATAGACAAATATAACATTGCGAATGTAGCAGTTAAAAATAAAATTGATTTTCGCGATATCTTAGTCATGGTATTAAATATGGACATTTTGAATTTTGATATTTAATGTCTTATTTAAACTGAATAACTTAAATTAACATAAAAATATCACGTTAAAGATGTTATTGTGATTATAGATCACTGTATGTATAGAACAATACTATTTAGAAAATCGGTTACGAATGCAATATGTTTACAAGTAGAGCTTGTTAAACGTAAAGAAGGCTCTTTTAACTGAATAAAACATAAATTGATAGGAATTTTGTATTTTGATAACTGAATTCAAAATAAAAAAGTTACGACCGAAAGAGTCATCTAATTATCTATGATTAAAGTGTTGCTAGAAAACGCTATCTTTTCCTACCAACCCCGAGAACCTAAAAGCGATATCATTAAGATAGCATTGTTGCTTGAAATTGTAAGCAATTAATCTTCGGGTTAAAGAGTTTTTAACTGTCCTTAACTTAAAATTATCGAAAAACGTAATACTGAACTTTAACCATGGAAATACAATAGATTTAGACTTTGACGAGGGCCACTGAATTGTCAATATCTGTCATCAATTGTCAATTTGACAGTTTTGCATGAAATTTTATTTTGTAAATTATTTCTCAAATTGACCCAAGAAGTATTTTGAATTAAAATTATGGCATTAAAAGAACGCGAAGAACCGGCTATGTTGGCGTATGAGATTTTTTTGAAAAAGGACTACCTATCTGCGTTCCAACATTTAAATGAACTAGAAGGTCTCGTCACGAATACAAACCTCATTAAAAGAGTACAGCAAAACAAAGCGGTAGTTGAATTTTATGGATCAGATTTGAAGGATATTGAAAAGTTTAAATGTACGACGTCTGTTTTAATTGGCTTAACTTTTCCAGATGTGGAAATGAAGGAGTTAAACTTACCTTTCACGCTGTATAATTATGCAGTCCTTCTTTATCACTCACGTCATTATTACCAGTGTACTGTTGTCTTAGAGAAGCTGTTAATGACAAAAAACATCAAAGATGTAAAATTGTATCAACAAATTGTATTATTGCTTATGGAGGCTACATTATGTAGACGCACATATGACAAAACCTTGGAGGTAGCCAAAACATATGGAGAACCTATAAAATCGAACAATGAAATTGTTCCACTATTTGAAAGACTTATAAGCAGAGCGCAAGTGTTTGTAGGTCAGAAAATAAAACTAAAACCGGACTGTATCGAGAATGTTTTCATTATAGCCCAACAGCAATATTTAAATGGAGATTTAAAAGAATCAGCCAACACTCTAGGACTTTACAAGTCAATTAAGTATAATTATGATGTTAAGACTCAAGGTGAAGATATTTGGGCAGCTATAAACAATAATCTTGGTGTTATTTATCTGTCAATTAAAAAACCTTTTTTGGCAGCAAAATATTTTCAACATGCTGTGAAAGAACATTTTAAAGCAATGGAAAGTGAGGATAGGGAAAGGTTGATTGATTGCAAAGATAGACCTATTTATGTGTATAATTTAGGTCTGGCATTGCTGGCAGCGAATAATGCTGAAGGTGCATTTGAATGTCTGGTGGAGGCTGCACGTCATTATCCAAATAACCCTAGAATTTGGTTAAGATTGGCCGAATGTTGTGTTAAAAAATGTTGCAATGAAGAGGCACAACAGTTTACTGTGAAAAAACTTGGCAGTGGGCCTCATACAAGAATTTTGTTGGCAAGAGAGAAGCCAGAAAAATATTCAACATCTGGAGAATCTTTTGCAATTCCATCTCTGTCTTTAGAGTTTGCAGCCCTATGTTTAAAGAATGCAATATCACTTCTCCCTAATCAAGATGTACCATCAGATATAACCGCGCCATTATTCCAAGCACCACCAGGCCCACCAATAAATTGGAAACAGTGTTGTGAATTAAAGAATTCAATACTTGTCCTTCAAAGCTATGTTTACTTAAACTTGCAAGATCCACAATCAGCTTTAATTACGGCCAATGAACTATTAAGTCAACCAGATGTGTCAAACAGTCACAAAGCCTGGGCCCACATATATGCAGCTGAAGCATTAATTAATTTGGACAAAATAACAGAAGCAGTGGAACATTTACACCCCCCCATGATACATGAACTTGTCTCAGTACTGCCTTACCAAATGCGAGATTTGATTGCTGTTTCTGTTTGGGCTAAAGCAGCTGTTTGCCACATATTAAGAGGGGATTTAGTAACAGCTAGGAAGATACTATTACAAATAAATTCGCCACGTGTGTTACCGCTGCAAATGTATTTAGAGATTTGTACTGGCAATATTGAAAATTGTCACAATATTTTAAGGAAACTTAGATTTAGTAATTTATCGCAATAATTGTAATGTATTAAAGAATTTGGTGTTATAGTATTCTTATGCTTTCCTATGTTTTTAAGATTATGTGCTTTGGTGTTTAACATTTTTATTAGTAACAAGAATAAAAGTTGCGGTAGTAAGTTATTTGCTTAATAATATTAATTAAAATCAAATGAAATGTGATTTCGAAAATAATGATAATGTAATGTTATAAATTGTACAGTTTCAAAATGAACTGAATGTTTCTTAATTTGATATTTTTCATAATAAATTGTCTTGAGCAAAGCATGTCTACTGCGTTTTTTAATTGAATTATTCTGTGTGTAGAATGTACGGCAACCGCCGCGAAAGAATTTAAACATTTAGAATGCTATTTATAGAAAGTGCAAGTTGTCACTATGACTATTCTTTATATTATAAAAAATAAGATGAGAGCATAACTAACATCTTTAATCGCACACATCCTGTGAAAATAATGACCTCAATACATCGGAGGTTAGTAAAAAGCGTTTACCAAATTACTTCAAGCTCCTGAACTTTATGTATTTGACTCTAAATGGCAGCACCGTGCTTAGTATGACAGTGACACTGACAGAAAAATTAATCAAAACATTGTCAATGTCAGTAATCCGTTAAATTGATCAAATCCAATCAAATCAAAGTTTTGATTAAAAGTTTATTGGAAGGTCAATCAAGGTTTCTAATACCTGTGTTACAAAGTTAACTAAAACTACTAATCTGTCGTCTGATAGACGTTAAAATTCACTTGCGGAAGTTTTAGTTATTAAAACGGATGCTATTGTGCTCCATACCAGTAGGTGCAAAGATATACCTAGGAAATACGCAAAAAAGTCCTGTTGGTATCAAAATAAGTAGACTGATTTACAAAATGGTGCTTACAACTCCCACTGTTAAACTTAACAATGGTTATGAAATGCCTCTAGTTGGACTTGGTACATATGCGGTAAGTTTTTACAGTTTAAAGGAGCAACGGGTTATAATAAAATATCATTATTAATGTAAACTGTTTGTCTTAGCGTAAAGCTGACCAAGGACAGTTCCGTCAAGCAGTTGAATGGGCATTAGAGGCTGGCTACAGGCATATAGACACAGCTTCCATTTATAACAATGAAGAGGAAGTGGGAGAAGCTATTTGTAATAAAATAAAACAGGGTTTGGTTAAAAGAGAAGACATTTTCGTAACTACTAAGGTTTGTTTCTCATACTTCATACTAATATTCTAAATGCGAAAGTTTAGATAGATGGATGGATGGATGGATGTTTGTTAAAGTTTGTAGCCTGAACGGCTGAACAGATTTCGATAAAATTTGGCATAGATGTAGAGGATAGTCTGGAAGAACACATAGGTTATTTGCATTTTTTTTAATTCTGCGTGTACGGAGTCGCGAGCGAAAGCTAGTTATGTTATAATTTTATCTGTGAAATATCTGTACTAATATTATAAAGAGGAAAATTTTGTATTTTCGGATGTATTTAAATTACTATAAAAAGCAACATTTTCACTGATTAACATAGGCTACATTTTTTATTTTTAAATTCAACAACAAAGTTGTGAGCAACAGCTAGTCTGTTATATACTTGAATTCATATTTTCAGCTTTGGAACGACAGACATGCAGAAAAGGATGTAGTACCAGCTCTCAAAGAATCTCTGGAGAGGCTTAAACTGGACTATGTGGACTTATATTTAATACATTGGCCAGTATCTGTTAATGTTAGTATCTAGCTTAACACAAAACTTATCAAGTTCATTTACTTTAGTCATAATAGCTGTGGCAGAACTTTGCCGATATTGCATATCTTATTGGTACATTTTAAATTATTTCACTTGTCCAAACTATGTATGAAATGTTTTGAAATTGCAATAATTCTTTGTTTCTATATAAAAAAAAACTAGCACTGCTGGGATTATGCTAAGCAATATCCTTCATGTTGATTCTGAAAAAAAACCAAGTAAGTCTAAAATTCTGTACATTGCCCATATTTTGTAAAAGTAAGATATTATGAAGTCATAAATATTTTGGAACTTTGAGTTTTGCATTAAGGGCAAAGGTTAGAATTCGAATCAAGTCATCATCTCCCCAGCCTTATCCTACTCCCATAGGGTCGGCGCACCGGGTTTTCGTCCTCCAAATAACTATCATCCGTCATCTCAGTCATCACTTCCTTCTTGAATTTGAATCAATTGTAGTTCATTTATTTATAAAAAAATATTCTCATAATTCAAATAGAAAAAAGGTGAAGATGAAGATATAGATCATGCGGAAACATGGAGAGGAATGGAGCGCGTTGCAGAGCTCGGTCTATCTCGGACAATCGGTGTATCAAACTTTAATGAACAACAATTGACTAAATTACTGGAAACGGCTAAAATTAAACCTGCAGTCAACCAGTTTGAGGTGAACTTCATTTTTAAATTATCTTACTATTATTATAATGTGTAAGTTTGTATGGTTGTTTGTCAATGTGTATCTTCAAAACAGCTCTCAATGTTCAGATGTAGAACAGTCTGGAAGAACACATAATCTACTTATTAAGTTTTTTGTATTCTGTCCTTACGAGTTGGGGGTAATAGCTAGTAATTTATAATTAGATTGACCTGTAATTCAACTGATTATTGTCAGTTTTATTAAATTACTTTAGTAAAGTAGTTTTAGACCTTCTAGAGGAGGGGGAATTCCCCTAATTCCAGTGACAACTCCCATTAGTGGCATTGAGTGTATTAAAAGTTTTTTTAACTTCAATAAGTCTTTTGTTAATTTTAGATAAATCCGACATTCACAGCGCACAATTTGGTTGATTACTGCAAGAAGATGTCTATAGTCCCAGTAGCTTATACACCGCTGGGCCTTATCTCCGAGGCAAGACCGGAGTTTAATGGTGTTGATGTTATTAAAACTGATCCGAAATTAGGTGAAATTGCAGAGAAATATAATAAAAGTCGCGCACAGATTGGATTACGATATTTGGTATGTTTTTTTTATGTTTAGTAACTATTGTTTAATAGCTAAATCTAGTTTTTGATATCAAATTTCTTTCCCATATTTTATTTAACTGTTGAAATTCAAATTTAACCATTTTGAGTGCTACAGAAATGAGAAAGCCAGAACTATCGTTTAGAAAAAAATAAAGTTTATTGTTCGTAAGATACGGGTTTCTTACCACGATTGGATTGTTTTAGCTCCCGATATTTCGGCACAGTTGCATGCGCCATGTTCACGGGCTGACTGAAATTATGCGGTAGTGTTAAAAAAAAACCCGTATCTTACGAACATTATATTTGTAAAAACCACGGCAGTCAAATGTTATATAAAATAATGTTAATTCAATATTCAGTAGTCATAGACAAACTTGTTATTTACTAATGCTGTTTCGTTGCGAATTTTCTAGAATAGTTAATTAATATAATAATTATTATATTTTTTTAATTATACACTGGTTTCAGATACAACGCGGTATTCCGGTATTACCGAAATCTTTTACTAAATCGAGAATTGAAGAGAATTTAAATATATTTGATTTCCAATTGACAGATGAAGAGATGAAGATAGTTGATGGTTATAATTTAAACCATAGATGTGTGCCCGGACTTGCTTTTAAGAATTGCAAGAATTTCCCGTTTTAAAACAAATAGTAAGTGTCTATGGTCTACATAGAATTATATTGGTCAAAGTTAAGTTTAAAATATTTCATTTTTAGGTTTTTATGGGATAGTTTTAAATTACTCTGATTTTAACACTTTGATTACTGACGCTCCTTGAATTTACTTCGATGAAAATATAGCGGCAGTGAATGGGTTAATAGTAGACAAAAGAAGCCAAGCTTCATTTCCTATTAATGTGATAGTAATCATTGGATTCCAAATAATTTAAATAAGATGCAGAACATTTTCAGTAAATAAAAAGCGTAGTATTTAAGTAATTGAAACAAATTTAAGTTAGCTCATGTTTTATACTTTGTTAAAATTTGCATATTAATAAAACTACAAATCAACAATCTCTTTTTTTGCGATCCTAAATTTAAGTTAATTTTGTAAGCAAAAATTTTATTTTTGAAAATAAAACACATATCAATTGTTCGACAATTTTATTTGAATGAAAACATAACATAAATAATTTTACAAATTTCAATAACATACAAAGCGCAAGTCATACAAAATTAAAAAAGAAAAATATACGTAAATACAATATTTAGTATGGAATGTTAGTCAAGAACTCAATTGTTTAGTGTTTTTTGTTATGAGAATTGATGGAAACATTTATAAACATTTTTAATTTTTTTCTCTAATTGACTTAACATATTTTTTCTATAACTTTATTATTGGAAATAATAACAAAAGAGATCTTGACTGGTAACTGCAAATATTAATAAAAATGCATTAAAATGCTTGATTTAATACAAAATTATGTAAAATACAAAATGCATCTGAATCTATTATTCTTAACATAAACAAAACTAAAAAAATATAAATGTATATAAACGGAATGAATTGGTAAAAGATAATAAAACAAGGTAATAATAAATAAATCTGCAATGATTGTTGACTATTACATTAAAACAATAAAAACACAGCCTAAGTAACTTCTCTTAATTATTTAAATGGCAAAGTTAAAACTTGCATCATAGGACTAAGTTAAGAGTGTGTTGAGACTGTCAAGAATACAGCAATCTGATTGGCCGATACTTGACAAGTAACTTGACATTTCAATATGGCGACTATGATTTTGGTCATTTTTTGAAAAATAAAAATGTTCTTTTAAAACACAATTTATCGCAATTATTAATGTATTTTCCAATATGTATGTCTAAAACCTATTGCAATGTTTTATTTTTGTACACATGTATAAAAAAACTTGTTTTAACTAAATAAAAATTATCAAAGTCAACATAGTTTATGGTTATACCAAAATAAATGAAAAATAATCATAAAATGTAAACATTTAAAATATTTATCACAATCATAAATAAAAATAAGCCCCAGTATGAATATCAGAAATAATATGAACAGTAAAAAATAATTTTGTCAATGCAATAAATAACAACGAAAAAAAATCACATACGAACGTATGAGTCATACAAAAATATACTTTGAAACGCTTATACTAAATCTAAAGTCTACAAATACAAATTTCTAGCACAGCTCACACATATTTGTACATCTGACCGCGAATATTTACTGCCAAAACATTTGAACAGAAACATTCTCTTCCCTTTGGTATAAAAAATATTTCTGTAAAAACCTTCAGTAACAAAAACTCGAGGTTAAGATCCGCATAGCTTCATACAAAAATTACAAAAATACAGTTACATAACTTATAAACGGTAGTTACATTATTCTAATTAGGCTTTAAGCATAAAAAATTGACTCTTAGTAACTCCTGTCAAGATGTCAAACATTTTGACAGCTGTCACTAAACTGTCAAACTTGACACAATTCAAAACTATCAAACGTTTAACTGCTGTCACTAAACTGTCAATCATTTAGGCAGCTGTTACTAACTGTCAAATATTTTGACAGTTGTCAAAAATACATGAAAAGCCTATGTATCAGCCGTTTATAAGAGTAAATATGTACCTCACTTCCATACGTAATTGAAGACATCCATGATACTATCGTATATAGTGAAAGTGATCGCGACGTCGAAGACAACGCGACTGAGACGAGGCACAGTACCTTTGTAGAAGGCGAGTGGACCTTCGTGCTTCCATGTCTTGATGAAACAGTCCCACGTACTTCTGTATTTCGCCGCCTCTAAACCTTGCATTCTCGTTTTTACAACATCTATCGGTGTGTTACCAAACACTGAAGCAGCACCTAAAAAAATAGATATATAAAAATATGCTGTTTGTACAACTAGTTGCCGGTGACTGTCCGCGAGTAATTAAAAAAAACCATAAATAATCTATGTGCTCTTTCAGACTATGTTTAACATCTATGCCTAATTTCATCGAGATCCATTGAGCCATTCTGGAGATAGTAGTAAGCTTGAAAAAAGCTGGAATATTTTTTAGTAGTAATGAATTGATGGTTTTTTATATGTCCAATAAATAATGACCAAAGATGACCCTTCAATTTCCACAGATATTTAAAGATATATAGAGTGGACATTTGTATCACTTCCTTCTCAAACACTTCATAATTTAGCAAACAAACTGTTCTTTTGTGTTCTGTCTATTGATACTAATGTTGAAAGTCTTTAATACCTGCAATTCCACCGAATAAGCCTACGATGTATTTAGGCACGGGTTTGTCTCTATCGCCGCCCTTGTACCAATCCCTGAGAGACTCCATCACAAAGAATCTGATCGCTTGGTTACTGCCTTGCTTCATTATAGTTGCTGTAACACCTTTGTACACTCCTCCGACACCTGGAATCGATTTAAAAGGTTCAAAATAGACTCAAAGTCTACGACAATGGAAACCGTACATTGGTATTCTAAAGAAACTGTATACAATAAGTTGTATTTCGTTCTCATTTTAGTGCCAAATATAGGTTAATTAGCTTTCGATGGAGACTCCATCCGGAACTATAAAAAACTTAGTAAGTAGTTTATGTGTAAAATAAACAAAAGTGAGTAGCCTATGTGCTCTTCCAGACTATCCTCTACATCTATACCATTTTATCGAAATCCGTTTAGGCTACAAACTCTAACACATCCATCCATCCATTTGAATTAATATAATATATTTTTCATGCCTATCATACAATATTGAAATTATCCAACGCGAACTACGAGCTAGCAATACTTTGACGCAAATCGTTTATATTTTTATATGGCTGATATAAATACAGCTACGTTGTTCAGTCACGAAATTAAAATAAAAATAACCGCGCTGATGCAAACGCGTGAAGTGGATAAATTTGTCTAAACGTTAGCTGGTTTACCTTCAAATTTCTTTCGATTTCGAAACCCTCTACAAATAACTACGGTAACTAGGCAATAGTAAAATGAACAGCGCGTTTTCGTAGAACATTATAGTTTTTTTTTTAAATACACGACGGAGTAAAATTTCAAAGGTTAAGTGAGGCCAACCTCTCAATCTTTACATAAACCAGACACTTGAGTTGGCACGTCGGTCTGAAGAGTACTTTAGTTCACGACGTGACAAAAATACCGCATAAAACAGGGGTGGCCAACTTGATTTGACTTTAAATTCACCGTTCACCGATATCTAGTGCGAACTACCAATTACAAATTTCTTGAAATCCTAAAACAATTGGATTAATAGTTGTGATCGACAGGTTGAACACCCCTGGAATACAATCTGTACTCACCTTCTTCCCTCACAATAGTCCTGACTCCATGGAAAAATCCTTTAAACCTCGGTTTCTCCATACGCATGTCGTTAATAAATTTGACCTTGACTGTCTCCATGGGTGTGACAGCGAATACCGCTTCGGCGACTCCCGCAGCCAGTCCGCAGGCCAGCTTGCCAGTGTTACTGAGAGTACCATTTTCGTTCACCATGTACAGCTTCGCTTGTTCGAATACACCAAATCTGTAAAAGATTGAACATATCTTTTCTACATAGAATTATACCATAATTATAAAGAGGAAAGATTTGTATTTGTGGATTTTTGTATGTATTGAAATAACTCAAAAATTACAAGGACGATTTAAAAAATTATTTCACAATTAAAAAGCTACGTTATCAAGTAACATAGACTATATTTTTTTAATTATTTTTTATTTCAAGTGGGTGAAGTCACGAGCAACAGTATCATATTCCTTAACATATTTCTCTCGTTTCTATCTATTTAAAATATTCGTAATAAAATAAATCCAAAAGTTTAACACCACTGGCTTTAATAAGAACAAAGTAGTATATTTTGTTAGTCAATTTACATGAGCAAACGTTAGGGAAAATAGTAAATAATATAGTTTCCTTCGTAATGGTTAAACCTTGCATAGTTAAATAATTTGAATACAATCATTAGGTAAAGAATACGTAATTGGTATTCATTTATACACCGTCGAATGCAAATTCAAAGTTTTTTGATTCTTCAACTTTGTCTAAATAATAATTATTATGTTATGATGTACACAATTTAAACAACTAAAAGCCTCCAACTTCTGAATACGGACACTAAATAACTGTGATTATGAAACTTTTTGCTATTAAAAGCGTGTTTTTTTCCTGTTTATTGTATTTTAGTTGTTTAAAATCATGGCGTATAATTCCGTACAATAAAATTGACATCATACCGTATATAAGCGTATTTCTATCAAAAATAGTAATCTTACTATCATACTTCATACTAATATTATAAACGCGAAAGTTTAGATGGATGGATGTTTGTTAGAGTTTGTACCCTAAACCGCTGAACGGATCTCGATAAAATTTGGCATAGATGTAGATGATAGTCTGGAAGAACGCATAGGCTATTTGCTTTGCTTTTCTTTTCCACGCGGACGGAGTCGCGGGTGAAAGCTAGTTTAAATTATTGAAATAAACTATTTACGTATTTCATTCCTTTAGTTACCATCGCAACTTTTGCAATGTGTTACATGTTTTAAAGTTTGCAAAATCAAATATTCAATAGGATTAGGAAATAATCGGTTAAAATTGCAAATGTGTCCGCATTGTCATTGAGTGGTATCGTGTTGTGTGACATAACAGACCTCTGTTATCGCGTGTGCTACTTCGCTGTGAAGTCAACTTAGCACAACTAATTACTTAGACTTTGGAATACATTTAGTTATTTAACCTAAATACAGGTGTTCTTGAAATATAGTATAGATTTGAAAGTCATTCAAGCCTTTTCTTTTTTTTATGTAAAGGGGTAAATGGGCGGCGGGAACACAGATGTGGTCAACGACGCCCATAGACATCCGCGTCCCTTAGAGGAACTACAGATGCGTTGTATGCCTTTGAGTAAAAAGTAGGCTCGCTTCTTGAAGGAACCTAAGTCGTACTGGTTTGCAAACACCGCTGAACATGGAGGAATTTCTAAGTGTAGATTGGTCTACAGAAATGTTATATTTATTCTGTTTTATTAAAAAAAAAAGTAAAACTACACACGTACACGGCAACAAAGAGTTGATAAGGAGTTTGTAAGTGACGGATAAAGTCACGATGCATAACTGTCTTTTCTCTAATGTAATCAAAATCTGGAATGTAGTTCGTTTGTGTGGAATGTTATCGTCTATGAATAGAATGATCAATTACTTTTATAGGGTTTCGCCGAATAGAGCCACATATTATTTCGTTCTTGTGTCGTTTGTGTAATTGATTTAAAATGAGTGTAACTCAATGTGATATATTTTCAGTCAGTATTTTCATATAGCATGTTTCAGACGGATTGTCAGTTTGCTAGTGTTTATTCATCACACTAATATAAATGAGACAGTTTAGATGGATGGATGGATGTTTGTTAGAGTTAGTAGCGTGTACGGATTTCGAAGATATTTGGTACAGATGTAGAGGATAGTTTGGAAGAACACATAAGCTATTCACTTTTAATTTACGGACGGAGTCGCGGGCGAAAGCTAGTATTTTATCATTTTAATATCTACTTATGTGGATGAATTGTAGATAAAAAGGAAACGTAGTCTTCACCGGGACATATCAATAGAAAGAACATTGCCCTTATATGTTATTTCGTCAAGTCCTTGCTTTTTCTCTATGTATCTGATACCATTAGTAAGTAGGTCGATGTTTCTTTAAAATTTTGTTTTCTGTAGTAATTTAAATGGTTCGTAATCAATCTAGATCTCTGTCGTGGAATACTTCGTGTTATTCTTTAAAAAGATAGAAGGAAAAGAATCTATTACTCTTCAATTGTTTTCTGGTATTAAAACATGAATGCAAACATTTGTCACGAGTGGTTATGAAATTGGAGCACCGAGTTCGAAACGGCGCGGGCAAATAAAAACGCGGTGACGTCATCGGTTTGTTTACACGGCATACCGTGTACAGTAGGCAGGTGCGGTACGATATCGTGTGTCGTACAGAACGTTTGTAATTGTGTCCGGCGCCTCCGGGCTTATTAAATACTAACTAGTGATGTACCGATACAAAATTTCGATGATATCGATATCGATAAAAATGTGTACAATTTGTGATAGGGTTTCGACTTAAACTTAACGCTAGTGTCACAATGCTAAAAATGGATATTTGTACTCAGAGTCAATTTGTTACTTAAACAGTAAGTTTAGAATTCACATAGTACACTAAGCAGTTACCATACTGTTCAATTAATGACTCTGAGTGCAGTAAATAATGAAAATTTTTACCTGACTGCTGACTTTGGTATAGAGCCATACAGCAATACACTAAGGCCTCTGTAAAGACCAAAGAATCCATGGCCTTTTACAGTCTTTTTTACACAATCTACTATACCAGTGTACTTTTTGGTGCCACCTGAAACAAAGAATAGTGCATGTTAAAATCTTACTTATAAATATGAATCTTGGATGGATGGATGGATGTTTGTGGCTTAAACTGTTGAAACGATATTGATAAAATTCTTTGTATGTGAGAAGGGGGGCAAACGAGCGGCGGAAACACAGAGGTGGTCAACGACCAACAACGCCCATGGACATCCGCAACACTAGAGGAACTACAGATGCATTGCTGGATTTTGAGGAAATTGATGTAGATGGTCTGGAGAAATCTATAGCTACTTGTTTTTTTTTAAACTTCACATGGATAGTCATGTGGAAAAGCTAGTAATTTTATGAAATTGCACAATAAAAGCAGCTTATCTGAATATCTTAACTGACAGTTGAGTGTTTATTCAACAGTTTGTTTGTAAAGATAAGAACATGTCTTTTATTAGGCTGCCATATTTAAAATTCAATATAATTTTTCCCTTCAAATAATCCAAATATAGTTTAATTTGTATCTATTCACACAAAGCATTAGTAAAAGCTTATCTGCTGCGTTTCTACTGTACTAAAACTTGTATAACAACATTGCTATGCTCCTTATTCTTAAAGAAAAAAAACAATAACATGTTATTTCATAAGTTACAATAGTTGACAGTCATGGTTACTTTTAAGTAAGTGTTAAGTGTATAAGTATAGTAATATGTAGAATAAACAGAAGACAATGTCTTACATGTTTGTACCAAGTAATTTAAACTTATGTGGCAAGTTTAAGGTTGATCTCTAATAAGTTAAGCTAACAATAATGTATTATAAGTTGGAAAAACTTATCTCAGAGCCTTGGATCTGGCTTGTTGGATCTTAGTGTGATGTTATGTTCATGAAATCACATTATTTTCCTTTCAGAAGAACTACATTACAAGATTAGTAAGAGAATTTAATATTATACCTATATGTGTTTGCCTACCTGTAGGTCACTTCCACTATCAATTTATTTTTACATGTTGACATTGACTTAGACATAAGCACTTAAAAAGGTCAACAACTTCTCAACTTCCTGTTAGATATTAAATATGAGTAGATAATATAGATAATAGAGATCACCAGTAATATAAAAGTGTTGCTGGTGTTCTTCGGCGAGCTGGGTTGGCTGGAGTAATCCATGTCCTATTCTCACGCAAAATACGCGCTAGCCGTGGAGTTGCGGAAACCATAGCCCCTACTACTACTACTACATGAGTAGATAAAAGATTTTGTGACATTTAAGATTAGCTTTCGCCTGCAATTCTGTCCGTGTGTTAACAAAAACAACAGTAAGTAGTCCATGTGTTCTTCCAGACTATCATCTACATCTATGCCAAATTTCATTGAGATACATTAACCCATTTAAGCTAGATACACTAACATACATCCATCCATTAATACTTGCATTTATAATATTTGAAGATCCTGTGGGAGATGAACTTGAAGGTATTAGATAAAATATATCTGTGAGAAGATACTGATAACCATGGACAACTGATCTATTTGTGAAATCCTATTAAGTGAAGATATAAATTTGATGCAAGCTTGTATATGATAAAAACAATAGCTCAATCAAATTCAGTTTCGTATAAGATAAGATTAGTGTTGCCGATAGCAAGGCTATGATATGATTGTATATATCTAGGCTACCTTCATAACTTGATCAAACTGCAGATATTTCGTAGTTACTTTTCTTGAAAATCTTACAAAATTATGTTAAAAAAAACCTTGAAATTAGAATCTATAGAAGCCAATTTTGTATTGACAGAGATAATCATACAAGACACATTTTGGTACTAAATTTCTTATTAAAACAAACATAATTGCTAAATAATGCATTATTAAGTAAATATATAGATAATGAAGCAAATATGTGAGTAATCTAAAATGAATCAAGTAGGATTCTTATTAGAATTTTTGATATGAAGCATTCATGAGAATTCTGCAATGTCATTTTGGTAAAAATATAAGCAATAAATAATGCTTACAAAAGTTTAAAAATGGAACAAGTTGGAAAACTTTTCGAAGTAATAAGTGTTGTGTACTTTAAACGTTTTGAAATTGATATATTCAATTGTTTTAATTAGATTTTTGTGGTTCAATGAAAATTATTTTTCCTAACGAAGGACCAAAGTCCAAATTAACTACGACTCAAGTTTGTCGTAAGGTGTTTATGGTTGTAACAAGGTTTAATGATTCTAACCTCGAATTCGATAGCTATTGTAACACGACTCTACTTAATACTTAACACAACAAAGCATTAAATAAGAATGCGCTTTTGTTTTAAAAATAATTTTATCACAATCAGCAAATTACAAAAGTGACTCGGCTAATTACAAAGTCAAAAGACCAAATTAACGTGATTTATGACCATTAATTAGCTAACATTGACTTATAATATATCAGGAACAAAATATTTAACGTTTACTGACCTTTTTCGTCTAACTGGAGTTGAGTTTTAACATATTCGGTTGGGAATGTAATACAAATTTCAATGCCACCAGTTATTCCTCCAGCTACAACGCCTTTTAACCCGACGGATCCTGAACCTCCCGCCGCAGCCGCTGCGCCTGTATCAGTCATCCATGGTCTTGAAAAGGGATTTTTGAAGTTTCCTGTCTTTGTAGACATTTTACAAAGTATTCGGCACTGGTCGCAAAAACGACTGCGGCGCGGTAAGCAACACTCCCCCTAACAACAAGATTCCAACTGATGAAAAAAATGACAATGTATTTTCATTCATTCTTTGTCTCATTCAACATTAATTCATTCACAATCCTCATTCGGTTGTGTGGTTTTTGCTTTAGGGTTACAAGTTGTAATGTAAGGTGCATAGTTTTCTATTATTTTTTGCTCTTTAAGAGTCATCTTGTTTATTACAAAAACGGCAGTAAGACATCTTAATTATTTTGGTGTAGGTTTGGTACTTACTAGTCTTTCTAAAACATTTTTAATCTTGGCAGAATTAATGTTCACTATTTTTTTTATCTATAACGAGCATTTGTCTATGTCTTTTACCAATGTATGACAGTTTGACGTTTGCTTGATTGTTTATGCTTGTTTCGATTTCGGCGTCTTGATTTCTATCCATATTTTGTGTTGAATTTGATTTCCAATTCAATTGTATTATTTGCATTTATCAATAGGAAAAGTATTACAAAAGCATAATCATGGCTCTCAGAACATACGGCGATAAGCCGATTAGTTTTCAAATTGAAGAAGGTGGAGATTTTTACTGTGTTGGATCAGAGGTATTTACTATTTATGTAGTTTTCTTTATAGTTCATTTTGAAATTCCTTTATCTGAATATTCATCTTAAACATGTTTTTAAGCCAGGTATTTACTAAATTAACATTGTGTTTATTCAAATTTAAATCAAATAACCTCAATAAAATAGTTTGGCCTTTTTAGTGTGTAATATTATATGAGAGTGCATTCTTATATTTGTTTTGTTTATACACATCTAAATGGTATTTCAAACAGGTTGGTAACTACCTACGGCTGTTCCGTGGGTCTCTTTATAAGAAGTATCCTGGTATGGCCAGGAGGACTCTAACTAATGAAGAGAGAAAACGACTGATTGACAATGGTCTAGGACCACATGTACTCTCAAGTTCTGTTTCATTGCTAAAAGCTTCTGAAGTTGAAGATATTATTGAAGGAAATGATGATAAGTAAGTGTAAACTTTGTATTTGTTAAGTTATAAAAAATTGGAACTCATTGAGTGTCTTGTTTAATTTAAAATAAATAATAAAAGATTGTACTATTTGTTTGTGTTAACTTAAGAACCAATTAACTGCAATAAATTAACTCCCTATTAACTTCACTAGTAGCATTTTACTCTAAAAGTTCATGTTGTAGAGAATTCTTTGTATGTGTCGAAAGGTTGACCCACTTCTCTTAAAAAGAAGGTTTATTCTGCAATGTTTTCAGGCTTCTTGAAATCTTTCTGAATTATTGGGCACACTGTACACAATAGTACTTAAATAGAAGATGTAAATCTTGTCTTACTAATATTATAAATGCGAAATATGTTATGAAATTTCTTAAGGTACAAGGCTGTATCGGTGAGTCAGGAGTTAGCAACACCGAGAGAGAGCAAGAGTAAGAAGCCACACAATCCATCATGGCTCCCAGTGATGCCAAACTCTTCACATTTAGATGCAGTACCACAAGCTACACAGATCAGCAGAACTAGAGTACACAATAAAAAGGTATAATTTATTCAGATAGGTATAAAATCAATTTCCATAGATTAATTTTTTTTTGTATCATAAGGTGTCAAATGAGCAAGAGGCCACTTTATTCCATTAAAGTAGTGAAGTGACCACTGCCCATAGATATGTACATTTGAAATGTGTTGTCATGTGGTTCGCATGGAACCAAAAAGAAAACAAAAGTGTATATATCCATCCTTCTAAACTTTCGATTTTATAATGTTAGTAAGATTTCTAGTCAATATTACTATTTATACAAGGTTTTATTTTAATGTTTCAGGTGCGCACATTCCCGTTATGCTTTGATGATACAGATATGACGGCGATGTTGGAGAACTCCTCGCAGAAGCAGATCCTAGTGCCAATTCGTCTTGATATGGAGATTGAGGGGCAGAAACTAAGGGATACATTCACCTGGAATAAAAATGGTTTTTGCAGTTTTATCTCTCTTACTTCTTACTAATATTATAAATGCAAAAGTTTAGATGGATGGATGGATAGATGGATGTTTGTTAGCGTTGGTAGCCTAAACAGCTGAACGGATCTCCATGAAATTTGGCACAGGTTTAGAGCATAGTCTGGAAGAACACATAGGCTACTTTTATCCCGGGAATAGTTACGGTTCCCGTGGGATTCATTTATTTTGTTTTTTAATGTTTACTTGATCATTCTGCAACGGTTCAACATATCTTATTGAAATTTGGCACAGATATAAAATAAAGTCTGGAGTACACATGGGATAAGCTTCATCGTCGAGAAATGTCAGGTTCCCGAGGGATACGTAGCTTTTTGTAATTCAACAACAACAACAATAAATTGTATGTTTTCGAATACCACGCGGACGAAGTCGCGGGCAACAGCTCGTACCAAATAAAATTAGAATTTCTTTCTTACTTACAATGACTTATTTCTAATTCCGCCTAGACGGAGTCGTAAACTTTAGATAGTTGATTATCTTACTAATATTCTAAATGCAAAAGTTTAGATGGATGGATGTTTGTTGGAGTTTGTAGCCTAAACGGCTGAATGGATCTTGATGAAATTTGGTATAGATGTAGAGTATAGTCTGGAAGAACACATAGGCTATTCACTTTTGTGTTTTTTTTATTCCACGCAGACGAAGTTGCGGGCATAAGCTAGTATTTAATACTATTAATGACTTGTTAATTTACAGAATCAATAATAACACCGGAGCAATTTGCTGAAGTTCTCTGCGATGATTTAGAATTGAATACGGTGACTTTTATACCGGCAATAGCGTCATCCATACGTCAACAGATTGACGCGTTCCCGAACGAACCACCCGCCATATTAGAAGAGCAAAGCGACCAAAGAGTTATTATTAAACTTAATATTCACGTTGGTAACACTTCGCTAGTAGATCAGGTAAGTTTTTCTATTCTAAAGTGAACCATAAATAGAGTACATTACTTTATTAACATTATTTTGGTAGTTCTTTTGTAATACCATTACAAAAAAAACTGCAATAACAAAACAATTGAATTTTTTAATTATAAGGTGGCTTTCGCCGAAATAGCGAAGTAACCGCTACCTATAAGTGTCCGCAATTGCTGATTGTCCACCTTTAGTCAACAGAGGATAGGAATTTCTCAGATGGACTACATTTCTCCTTATGCCGCCCCTCCTTCAAATCCCATCTTCCCATCCATTCCTTAAAAAGGGTAGAAAGAGACATCTGACTGAATTTAGTATAGAAATCTATAAGTGTTTTTTATATTACTCAGCCATCATCCTAGATGTTTGGTTTGTCAAAATAAATGTCATGCCACTGATTTTATAGTGGCATAGGACCTTTTTTATTTAATTTTTACTTTTTTTTCAGGTTGAATGGGATATGTCCGAGAAAGAGAATAACCCTGAACAATTTGCTATGAAACTGTGCGCTGAGCTGGGTTTGGGAGGGGAGTTTGTGACGGGCATAGCTTACAGTGTACGGGGACAGTTGGGCTGGCATCAACGGACTTATGCATTCAGTGAAGCACCATTGCCTGTTGTTGAGGTAACGTAGATTACTGTCGAAACTTTACTACCTATGTTACTAACTCCCTTTGATATAACGGAGATAGTTATATTTTTAATTTGAAATAAATGTGGATAGTACTGTGGACGATATTGGAGAAGTTTATGTCCTCTAGTGGAATTAATCACTACTGATCACGACTGATCATGACCAATCATGACGAATCATGACTGATCATAACTGGATTTTTGACCACAGTGCCACTTATCTTTATTTTTTAAAAGGAATGTGAGAGAATGAATCTATACAGTCAATGCAATCAGAATATTGATAATACCAAGGCAATTTGTTGTATTTTTAATGATAATGGTTATTTCCAGACACCATACCGCCAGCCATCAGAAGCAGACCAATGGGCTCCGTACCTGGAGACTCTGACGAATGCAGAAATGGAGAAGAAGATACGAGATCAAGATAGGAACACGCGCAGAATGCGACGTCTCGCCAACACTACACCGGGTTGGTAAATATTAACTACGGCCTATATGTCATTTAACCTTAGTTTGCTTCTACTATTATGAATATATCGACACATGAATAAAGTTACAATTATTAAGATATCTTATAGTTGTGACTTGTTGAAAATTATAATCTTTTCTCATAATATTCTTAACTCAATGAAAAGATATATTGATATTTCATAGATAACTTGATGAAAAGGTTGCATTTGCGTTGGATTTTAAGAGAAATAACTCAATGAAAAAAGTTTTGTCTTAGGAGTGGATTTTATATGTAACTATTTTTGACTCCAGTCAAAGTTTATTCATAACATCGAAATGTCGGGCAAAATAATGTCAATATTAAGGTAAATGTCACGATCCAAAAGTTTTATTATCCGAAAATTTTTTTTTTTTTAAATAACCGTAATGTCACAATACAACAGTTTTTTGACCTGATTTATGATTATTTTTAATTTGCGTTTTAGGGCACAAATCTCTACCATTTTCAAAATCTACTAAATTTTTATTAAATTATGTGCTCATTAGAAATTATTATAGGAGATTTTTTTAAAAAAGATAGTTAATGCGACTGTTCTTTTATATGATTATTGAATTATTATTTTTTTTTTAAATTTTATGAAAAAATTTTGCTCAGAATTTTTTTACGTAGGTTTTGGGTTGGAAATTTTATTTTGGGTTATTGTAGAATTAGGTGTAACAGTTTTTGATAGTTTTAATTGTTTTAGTATAGTTTTATGTTAAATAAATTATTAAATGATACTCCTTTGCTGATTAATTAATAGGAAAATAAATATTTCAACAATTATATACTTATTTATATTCTTATTTATTTATCTAATTAAAAATTATTTATTGAAGTGGTTAATAAATATTTTCAATCATTGATATAAGTATTATTTTTATTTGTATTATTTTATTTAAAAAAAGTTATATATGTGTACTTAAAATGTTTTAGTTTGTAGTTTGGACTTAAAAAAAATCATCTTAATTGCTATTAATTTATTTTTATTAATATTAACTTAATGTACATGATTTCATTATTTTTTGTTTTGATTATTGTACGACAAATGACTTACTAGTATTATTTATTTTTGCTATTTTCAATTGTGTTCAATGATATAAGTACAATGGACTATTTAAGTGTATTTTTTAATTAATTTGTTAAACTTGCATGAAAAAATAATGTTTATTTTTTGTAATTCTTCTCGTCCAACATAATTATGATTTTTTTGCGTTATTTAGTCTTAAAAAATTACATTGATAATATAAGACGTTTTGGTCTTACAATATGTATACGGGGTAGATAGGTTAAGACTGTTTTGTAGGTTAAAAAATGAAATAAAATGAGGTTAATCTTTATTGATTAAAATTATTTATTTTTTCATGCATGTCGCAAACAACAGACGTAGTAAAAAGTAAGTGGACTGTTAAATTTTTATCACATTAAATAAATGTTTTTTTTCCTTCAAAATTATCTACTTTTGTTTCATTTAGTAACAACTCGTAATTAATTAACTTTTTGGCTCGCAGCGGGTGATTAAATTGACGCAATCTGCTTACCGTTTTTCTAATGGCAATACTTTGTGATTTGAAGGGTTTTTTACATTTTTTTTCTAAAAAAATATTCAAATTTTATAAAAAATATTTTAAGTTCTTAGTAATTTATTTATTTAAGATATGTAATAAATCAATTTTCCTGATATGACAGGCATAAGTCGGCAAAACATGGAATTTAGTACAGAATTCTTAAAAAAAATCTAAAAAATCCTAATTTTTTGAATGACAAAGTATTGTCAATTTTTTTGTAGTATCTTATTTTTTTGTAAAACGGCAACACTGTATGGGGAGAGTTGTGATGAGTTATTTTTGGGTGCAGATGTGTCGTTGAGCCGGGCCGTCAACCGACTGATCCGTGCCGACGAGGCCCTCTTCCAGAACACGCCGGATAAGAGGAGGAAAAAGATTTAATCGCCCAACGCTTGCCGACATTCCTGCTTCATTATTATAAGGATTTTATTATAGTATGCTTTTATATAAAAAAAATAACAAAAAACGAACTCGAGTCGCGAACATCTCTAGGATAGGTATCTTTCAATAGAGAATCGCAAAATGTGAAATAGATATAAAACTACTACAAATAAGACCATATATATAAAACTCCCCTTAGAACCCTATTGCCCCCCCCCCTAGACCGTCTAGACTCCCTAGGTCATCGACTAGCGTCGCCTGACTAGTAAAAAATGATAATATAATAGTATTCAAATATCTTGTCGGCTCGGAAAAACCGCACGAAATAGCGCAGAACAAATTGTTGGTTTGACGACGTACAGAGATATAGGACAAGTTGACCTTGAGCCGACAAGATATTTGAAATGTCTTATACCTATGACTGGTTACGTCACAGATTAGTAACATCAAAAAATTAATATCAAGCTATTAAATGCATGTTGAATGCGACTCTTATATTGTTATTTCCTGTTGAAGTTTTTACTACTTAATGCCTGGTACATACTTAGCCAGGACAGTGGGACAGTAGCGCTAAAGCTGGACTTATATCCTTCAATAATGGCCAGTAACTCCATGAAAACTGTATCTGGCTTTCGCCACTGTCTTACTGTTGTGGCCTAGTGTGAACCAAGCTTTAACTACGTATCACCGCGGCGACTACACGTTGATGACGGGTAGATATTGCGGCAGTATAAGGTGGGTCTTATACAACTTTAAACAGCTTAAAGAATTCGAAAATCCCGGTATTATATCACTTTTTATATGTACGCAAATGTAGTTTTATATTTTCTCGTAATATGGCGAGAGTTATATTTCTGGTCTATACAACAATTGAATAGCCTGATGCTGTAAAAACATACGTAAAAGGTATGTAATCTTAGATTATAGTGTTTTTTTTTAGGGAAGAGATATTTGATTTTGATAAAATGATAAATGTGTAGTGGAAACATTTTGTAGGTTTAAGTAAATTGATCTGTTTATATCCTGGTGAAAAATTAAAAATGTTTTTGGGGTTTATTTCGGCTAATCTAAGATCTAATTGCCGTAAGCAAAAAATGACAATAGATTTAAATTAAAGAATCTTTTTCCTTTTGGAAGTAATTACGTTAAGAAATACTGAATTATTTTTCTTAGGGTCTATTACAAATTGCGTGATAGTTGCAAGAATGTATTCGTAACGGAATAGACAAAATTTGTATGAGCAGTGAAGTGGTGTGTATCGGATGTAAAAATAACAAAACTCAAACAAATTTATGTCGATGATATTACAAAAGGATTTCACAAATTTTCGTATTAGGCCCTCTGTTAACGTTTTTTTATATCTTTTAAACTTTCATATGATTCTAAATTTAAAAATTTTTTTTTTTCTTGTAATGCATTTTCAAATTCACATTTATAGATTTTTCACTTTAGAAAATATTGTAGATTTAAAAGTGAATGTAATTTTTAAGAAAAATAAATGTATTACATTTTGTAATTGGTGTTTTATTTCAACCTTAATCCTGTGGATATTAGGTACAGAATGTAACTCTGTACATTTTGCAATAGTAACTTTGTGTGTTTTAATGTGGGCGCGGCAGTGTCGCTGAGGGGAATACGGCCGAAACATTCTTAATCTATACTAATATTTATATATTAAAAAGAGGAAATATTTGTATTTTTGGAATAACTCAAAAACTACTGAGTCCATTAAAAAAATTCTTTCACCGTAAAAAGGTTTTATCTGTGAGTAACATAGGCTATATTTTTCAATTTCACGCGGGTTATGTCGCTAGCAACAGCTAACTTTTCATACGTTCAAAATTCCATTTATTTCAAAGACATTTAAAAATACAATGTAAAGTTTTAAAATTCTATAAAAAGACCAGAAATAACTCTACTTTGTTTAGCAATCACAGATTATACACGATGTTTTTTTTTAAGAAAAGCGACATCTATAGTATGGAATGTTTACTACTGATAACAGTAAATTTGTTGATGTATTTCGCGTTTTCAAAGTATCTACATGTATTGTGTATTTCGAGCGCCAACTTTAATTTTGGTCCTTTTACATATTAAGAAATTTTAATAAAATGCAAAATATTTTAAGCTTCGAAATTAAAATATAAGGCAATATTAAACTGCGCATCTAAATAAGAATCAGTTGGAACGTAGAATCACTGGCTGATGCTTAAAAATGACATCACTGGAACAAGGGGACAAAACCCGATATTTTCATCACATAGTTTACATGTTTGATTATCAGACAATTTACAATTTGGTGGGACAAGCCCTTAAACTACTGTAAAACAATAAGTTACCAAAGAGCAAATAACCTATAATTTTGTTATTTTAAGAACGTTCTAAATCGAATAATATTTTGTAACGTTATCGTAAGCAGTCTCCAGGGGTGCACAAATAGTGTCGTATAAGAATTATAGGCTCGCTTAAGACGTTACGATGTGTTTAAGTTTTCTTGTGAAAAACATTTTGTACGCATGCGTCGAATCTACCAATGTTGCGTTGCAGGCTTGACAGCCCTTTGGAGAACTAGTGATGTCTATCTATCGATAATTAAATATCGATAACATTTTAATGAAAGAACTTTATAATGGTAGTTGTATTTTTTGTCAATAAATTCATATTTAATTTGCCGTGAACTTACTATACAATAGTTTATTTTAGCGTAAAATTTACCACTAAAACAATGTAATTCATTACATTAAAGGAAACTGAAAAACTAATTTAAACTGAGAACGACAATTTATTTAATTCTTTTCCTTGAGGAATTGTTAACATGATTTTTTAATAAACAAAAGTAAATACTACAATCATTAGTATTAAAACCAATTATTTTGTGAACATAAATGAATAAAGTAAAAAGAAATTCGATTTTTTTGTCAATAAAGTTATTATAATAGACAATAAAATCGACGTTTTTCACGGCCCTAATGGTGGATTTTCGCAGTTCAGTGCGATAAAATGTTCTTTGGAGGCGGCGGCAAGCGCGCCTTCTCCGTAAACCCCGCCAACGCGAATTTCAAAACTGCAACCATTAAATTTTTTTCCCCTACTGTTCGAGTACGTTTATTTTTTAATCTTTAATTATCCGAGTTATTGTGTTAATATCGTGTAATTAATTTATAAAAGTGTTTGTGCAAGTTTTGTTCATGATTATTTAATTTTGTGTCTGTGAAAAGTTTTGGATTTTAATTTTTTTCGCAAAGCTGACTTTAAGGTAAGATGATGGTTTTAATAAATTTAAAATAGGTTTAGAGTATTTTGAGATTTTGAGGTTATAATTGTTTTTAATTTAATCTGCCCTTTTTTGGGTGATGAATATCAGTTGCATAAAATAAGTTGTAATAGTTAACTTGTATTTAAGTTACTATTTTGTACAATTTAATTAAATTACTCTGTTTTTAAGTATTGGAACTATTTTTGGTATGTTTTACGTAAATTGCGTTGTAATTAACGACTGTCATTTTTAAATGTTTTTCGACAAACTGGAGACTGCTGGCGATTACATTATTTTAAACAATAATTGTGTTTATTAAAGCTATTAGATATACATTTAATTAAATATTTAATAACAACGGTTCACTTAGCAACTACATAAGATGTAATTATCCTGTTTTATGTTTTATAGAGGACGGGTAAAAGACAATGAATCTAATCAAAGATTTTATAAACATATAGATAAACAAAATTTTGAGTCTATATACTTATGTGTGTTCCATTATCATCTAAAATCTAAACTGTTTCAAGATACGTGAAGGTTGAAGCTTAGGTACTTCTTGGAATCACAAGAATAGAAGTTTTTCTATCAAAACAGCTACACGTTTCATATCGTAAAAGCATAGTGTACAACATTTGTCTTTTTTATATCATAAGGTGCAAGCAAGCGGCCACCTAAATCCGCCAAACTGGCGAAGCGACAGCTGCACAGAGACATTCGCAATTGCGGATACGTTGCCTACCCTTAATCGACAGAGGAGACGCACGTAAAAAGGATATTTCCCCTTCCTATACGTCTCCTGCACCGTTAAATCCACGTTCCCTACCCATCTGTTTCTTATAAGAAAAAGGATGGAAGGAAAAGGGACTTAAGTTGGGCAGCGGTTGTCTATGCTCAAACAGTTATTATAAACTTAATCTCCATTAAGATTGGAAGGCTCGGTTTGAATAATTAAATTTATCGTCTATCCGAGTCAAAGTTTGAGAGCTGGCCAAATAATGTACTAAGCCTTCATTGATTGGTGGTATTCGTCTTACTTAACCGATAGATTTACTGAATTGGCATTCGGTTTATTGTTACACATAAAATCAATGGTTTTAGAAATTGGATTCTGATATTCCAGAATTAATTTATCAAAGTAACTTTATATTGTCTCGTCAGATTAGTTACCACACTTAAATACTTTATTTTTCGTATATAACATTTTGCTATTTTTATTTAGTAGGAGCAACAATAATGATCGAAAATATGGTTAATTATTAGCTTTTGAAAATGGATGTACATAAAAAAGGTTATAAGAATAGCTATTAAAAAGACAAAGCAATTGATATTTGAATCAATCATGCATACATAAGAAGGCAATTTTTTTCATAATATCCCAGCATGGTGACCTATTTGGCACATTTGCGGCTTCTTTCTCGCAGGCGGTTGATTTTGTAATAAATGAAGAGCTTTTTCTATTGAAAACCGCAGTAATATTTCTTGTATGTAAAATATTTAGTGCGTAATACTTATATAAAATACAGGATGTATTCATTTTTTACAATACTATTCGAATTCATGAAGGAATAAATTATTTGTGGTTATTCATTGATGTCAAAATTTCATTTTCTATTCTTGGCAAAGAATAAGACGCGTTAATTTTTTTATGATGGACAATCTATCTACCAATGAGTTATTGTTCAGCGACCTTGCTTTGTCTATGTTTCTCAACCTTTCATTTCAACATGCGTCTTCAAAAGAAAAAAAAAACCATTTAAGTAGATGCGCTAATAAATGAAGTTAAATAAAAGAATTTTCATTTCCGAAATGACATGTTCTTTTATTCTATGTCCAAGCAAATTCGAATCTCAATATACCAATCATCGATAGAGATTTGATCTCATCTTCTAGGACGTGTAATTTGATATCTCTAACACGTGACGCTCGAGTATCGTACTAACAATAGTATTGGTGTTACAAAGAGTAATGAGAGGGTCTGGATGTGGCATTACATAATGTATGGGCTTACACAGGGCTGTCGACTTTCAATAAATAACAAAATAAAAACACGATCATTTTCCAACCTTAGATTTATTTGTGGACGTAGAAAAAACGATAGTCACTTGTGTTTGACCAATATCCCAAAAGGAGGTGCACAATTCGCCTGCATGTTTTTTTTATAGCGGCCAATTGGAGGTTAGGAATAATAACCGTCACTTCGCACTGTCCCCATGTGGGAACAGATGAGAATAAAAAGTTTCATCCGTCCCACCTTTTGCGACGAAGGGACAGTTGGAATTTATTTTATTTCATAACGATTACATCTATCAACTTTTTGGTGATAGTGTTAATAAAAGGAGGGCCGGATGAAACTTTTTATTCTCACGTGGGGACAGAGCGGGGTGACGGTTGAAAATAATCCCAATTGGAACACGAAGTAATCACAACCCTAGTAATGTGCCTGGACAGTCGATAGAAGACTGAATTTTAGTATTGAATATCTACTTATTGTTATTTATGGCTTCGACGATAGAGGGATTCTCTGTTACGATCCTTGCACGTGTGAACCGAAATAGGTATAGACGTATTACGTAGGAGGTAGATGCTGGTACTCGTAGATAATCCTTATAAAACCATTTATTTGCTAATCATAAATTTACATTGTAACTCGTAATGAAACACCAAACCGCGTGATCGA